CGCACACGCTGATGTCGTCAATCATGTGGGCGGACGTGGGGGTATAGTTTGCTGTGGATCCGTAGCAGCTGGCGTCCATTAATATGCCGCAAGTGTCCGTCATGCAGACGCATGGCCGCTGGTTGCAGAGACCGCAAGGTGAGAGAGAGTATGTTACAGATACACATGCTCTTTGTCCCTGTCATGCCAAAAGCATGAGTTGGTGTTTGATGTGTGTTTATATATGTTGTTACAAGAGTTGTTTTTTTTGTAAACCTTGGGATGACATTTATTGTGGTCTTTGATCTTGCACCAGGCCTAGACCATAAACCATCTAGATAGCCATCACCAGAGCTGGACACAAGGAATTTCATAGAGTGAGCAATAGACTGCCAGACCAACCCCCTCTGATCCCCCCCAGGGGTCTTCCCACTGAGAAACAACTAGTTTAGATATATGAGGGTGTTGAACTATCCAGGGAAGTCAGTTATTCATTTTTCTTTTGTCAGTAACTTCTAGGAGACCTATACCATCTAAGACTCCCACAAGAATTCTATATGGGGTAAATATATGTAAGGAATTTCTTGTGTTTTCTCCTATTTTATTTTATGTACTGTTTTGCAATTTGTTATCTGTATGTTATTTATTTCTGTATTTTGTACTCAGCACTGTGAATTCTTTTTGTCAGATTAAATGTTTACTTAATCAGCTTGTGTCTCTGTTCTCTATGAGCTTCACTCTCCAGAGGAAAGCTCAGGTAAACACGTTACCAAAAAGGGTTAACTATATATGTTTTATCAGTAAAAGTAGAACTGTGATACTATAATTCTCCTGTGTGTGGGGTAACCTAAGACGCCCGGGTTTAAAAGTCTTGGTGGTGGCAGTAAAGTGTACTAAGGGGTTTAGTGTAGAAGGGATTGCAGGGGTTAATTGAGTGGTTGCTGGGACTAGCAACAGGTAACCAGGGGTCTGGTGTCATTAACCCTGTCACTTCCACACTCTCCCCACTGTCTCGGCTGGGCCTATAGCCCACGCACGTGACAGTCCCCCATTGTAAAGAGTCAACAGTTTGACTTCTTACCTGGTGTCGCTTGCTGACTCCACTACTAAAGCTGGAGAGTTAGAAGCTCCTAAGCAGGTTGTAGCGAAGTGCTAGTCCTGACAAGTACTTTTCCTCCGCTGGATCTGTGAAGACTGGAACTCTGGAACAAGGAGCTGAAATGTGAATAGCTCTTTTCCCCGCAGTAACGACACACAGTTTTGGGAGTACAACTGATTTATTTAGCTAAAACACAGTCTTAATACAAAAAATACACAAGCCCCTTCCAGGTGACCCATAGTCTGAGAGATAATTAAGTAAAAACTGAGTAACTCAATTATCTCTCAGGTACAGAAAAATATACAACATATATACAAAACACCCCAAAAACCTAGTCATAATTCACAGGAACCCCCTAATTCTTATATTCTTTTGTACACAATTATCCTTTCTTTAGGTTATACAACTCATCTTAGCTACACAGATGGACATGGGCGCCCAACATATCCAAAAAGCGCTCAGCTCTGTTGACCGACTGGCCACGAGGCGATAGCCTAAATCAGTTCCTTAAGAATGAGGGTGAAGGTCAGTTGGCTTTCGGGGGTTCCTGTGCGAACACCGACGAACACTCCCCCATGCTTCTAGGGCAAATCCCCCCATTTGGTAGTTCATATCTCCCGAATGTCGTTCATCTAGGTGGTCTGGAAGTAGAATGGGCCAAGGTACTGTACCTCGGCCATCACTATTTGGCACTTGCTAGGCTTAAGGGTTAAGCCAGCTTCCCTGATCCTATCCAAGACCGCTCATATATGGACCAAGTGCTAATGCCAGGTATTGCTAAAGATGGCGATATCGTCCAGATATGCACAGGCATAGTCTTGGAACCCATCTAGGAGCTGGTCTACCATCTTCTGGAAGGTAGCCGGAGCATTCTTCATTCCGAACGGCATGACTCGAAATTGGTACAAGCTGAACGGGGTGACGAAGGCAGAAGTAGGGATGGCTTCTGTGGCTAGGGGGATCTGCCAGTATCCCTTACAAAGGTCTATCGTAGTAAGGTACTGTCCCCTAGCCATCCTATCTAGTAACTCGTCTATCCTAGGCATAGTATAGGTGTCGGACACAGTGCAACACACTCAGACTACCTCTGGTAGTTCACACAGAAACAGGTTGTACGGTCCCGTTTCAGCACTAGGACTACTGGGGAGGCCCAGGGGCTGTTGGAGGACTCAATAAGCCCCAGTTGGAGCATCTCCTGGATCTCCTTCCGCATATTCTGGGGGTTGGAGTAGTGGGAACTGACCTAGTGTCCCTACTCGGTGACTGGCCAAAGGGGTGTACCTGGGCAAGTTGGAGAAGGTGGCTTTCTTCTCCATGAGTAACTGTAGTACCTCGGTACGCTCCTGAGGACTCAGCCGCTCTCCCAACTTGACCTCTTCTAACTCGACTGTCTGACTCCCGTCCCCTTTCGAAATCTTCGGAGGTAGGGGGTCAGATCACCGCCACTTCCTCCGCTCTTTCATGGTAGGGCTTTAGGATATTCACTTGCAGCATGCGTCGCCCTCCCATTCCAGAGAAGTGCCAATCACGTAGGTGGTGTCGTGTTTCTGCTCTACCACCTGGTATAGGCCCTGCCAGGCTGCCTGTAGCTTGTTACTATGGACAGGTTTTAAAACTAAAACTTTCTGTCTTACCTGAAAGCTATGGTCCCTGGCTCCCCGATTGTACCATGTGTGCTGACGACTCTGCGCCACCTGGAGGTTCGTTCACACAGTTTTAGTCAGCTCCTCCAGGCAGTCATGGAACTCCTGTACATAAGGAATTATGGGAGTCCCGTTCTGGATGATATCCCCTTCCCAGTGCTCTCTGTTAAGGTCTAGTGGCCCCCTCACCCGCCTCCCAAAGAGTAGCTCAAACGGGTCGAACCCTGTGGATTTCTGGGGCACCTCCCTTTACGCAAACAGGAGGTGCAGCAGGAATCTCTCCCAGTCTCGACTGGTGCCGTGAACGTTCGGAACATTTACTTCAATGTCCTACTGAACCATCTGCATAGGCTGTTCGTTTGGGGATAGTAAGGGGAGCTCATGATCGTCTTGATGCCGCAGAGCCTCCAGAGTTGGTGGGTGACCTCTGCGGTAAACTGGGAGCCCTGATCCAAAAACTATCTCCCGGGGAAATCCCATTTAGGAGAAGATTTGCATCAGGGCTTCCGCGACCTTTCTGTCTCTGCGTGAATATTGGTTAGTGCCACTGCCTCTGGATAGCTGGTCGCGTAGTCTACCACCGGAATGATATATTTCTTGCTTAAGGGCTAGGCTTAGCTAAGGATCCGACTAGATCCATGGCTACCCTGTTAAACGGTTCTTCAATAGTGGGGAGAGAGTGGAGTTTGGCCTTGCAGAGATCTCCCCTCTCGCCTACTTTCTGGCAAGTATTGCACCTTTGGCAATACAGCTGAATGTCCTGGGAGATACCTGGCCAAAATAAAATTCTGGGTGAGCCAATACCTTGTTCGGCTAGCCCCTAAGTGCCTGTAAAGCGAAATGTTGTGAGCTACCCGGAGGAGTTCCTGTCTGTACCTCTGTGGTACCACTAGCTGTCTGGTGGGGATCGGTTCCTAATCGGGCACTACCCTCTCTGATTCTTGGTAGAGAAGTCCCTTGTCCCACAAATACCTCTCTCCCTCTAACCCAGCCTGACTGCAGGCGACCCGGTCCCTGTATACCTGTAGTGTGGGGTTAGTGTCCACCTCCTTTTCCAAATTCAGCAGGGGCATTCCAGGGGAGTCATTCTAGGTATGGGAAAGAGCCTCTTACCTGAGCCTCTGGGTGTAAGTTATGGTCCATGATGCGGGCCTGCTGTCGTGGGACTACCGGCTACAGTTCCTCTTCCGGGGCTCAAAGGCAGACGTGAGCTTGCCCAAATCGTTCCCCAATAACACTTCTGCAGGAATCTCCTGAATCAGCCCAACCTCCACCATTCCAAACCCTGCTCTCCAATGAAGGGAGCCTGTGCTTGGTAGTAGTGGGCAACTGCTCTGGCTGCTGGAGGGGGATCGGGACGGATCCATTGTCCCCAGTTCCCTGTTCTGGGGACATTCCCTTATGTGCCCCTTTTTGCATAGATGGCACTGCACGTTGCTTTGCTGTTGGAAGCTGGGTGGTGGGGGGTTGAATGTACCTCTGCTTCTGGGTTGTATCACCGGTCCAGGAGGGGGTAAAACTGGTCATGTAATGATCTTGGCTGGCCCGGTCTTAGATGTCAGCGGTCTAGGTACTTCCGACTGGTTACCTCTGCCAAACATGCTTCCTAGTGATCACTGAGCTACCATAAGCACTTTATGCCCATAGCCGCCGCTGCTTGGCTGGGGTCTCACCGTCTCCTCCCACCCTGGACCCGAATTCTGGATCTAGCAACCAGTGGGTAGACCTCTACTCCAGAGAGTATAGCTGTATAGCAGTAAATTAAAACAGGTATAGCATTTCCCCCCCACATATTAGCCGAGACTTAAAACTGGGAGTAGATCTGTTTAATGCAGGCAAGCACTCACAATTTATACACACATTTAAACCCCCAACAGTCTCATAAACAGTGGGGTCAGACAATAGCAAGGGCTAATGGGAGATTGAGGAGGGACAAAGCAGCCAGTTTAAACTGGTCTGGCAGTGTCACTAGGACAATGCCCTGCTGGGGAAACAACACACACACACACCTTGTAGGAGGAGGTAGTCACACACACAGACCTTGTAAGAGGAGGTAGTCACACACACACACACACACCCCTGTAGAAGAAAGTAGTCACACACACACCTTGTAGGAGGAGGTAGTTACACATACGCAGTCTGTTGGAAGAGGTAGTCACACACACAGCCTGTAGGAGGAGGTAGTAACACAGCCTGTAGTAGGAGGTAGTAACACAGCCTGTAGGAGGAGATAGTCACACACACAGCCTGTAGGAGGAGGTAGTCACACACAGTCTGTAGGAGGAGGTAGTCACACACACACACAGCCTGTAGGAGGAGGTAGTCACAGCCTGTAGGAGGAGGTAGTCACACACACAGCCTGTAGGATGAGGTAGTTACACACACAGCCTGTAGGAGGAGGTAGTCACACACAGTCTGTAGGAGGAGGTAGTCACACACACACAGCCTGTAGGAGGAGGTAGTCACACACACACACACACACAGCCTGTGGGAGGAGGCAGTCACACACACACACACACACACACACACACACACACACACACACAGCCTGTAGGAGGAGGTAGTCACACACACACACACACACACACACACACACACACAGCCTGTAGGAGGAGGTAGACACACACACATACAGCCTTTAGGAGGAGGTAGACACACACACAGCCTGTAGGAGGAGGTAGTCACACACAGTCTGTAGGAGGAGGTAGTCACACACACACAGCCTGTAGGAGGAGGTAGTCACACACACAGCCTGTAGGATGAGGTAGTTACACACACAGCCTGTAGGAGGAGGTAGTCACACACAGTCTGTAGGGAGGTGTCCACACACACACAGCCTGTAGGAGGAGGTAGTCACACACACACACACACACACACACACACACAGCCTGTAGGAGGAGGTAGACACACACACATACAGCCTTTAGGAGGAGGAAGACACACACACAGCCTGTAGGAGGAGGTAGACACACACACAGCCTATAGGAGGAGGTAGACACACACACACACACACACACACACACAGCTTGTAGGAGGAGGTAGACACACACACACACACACACACACACACAGCCTGTAGGAGGAGGTAGAGACACACACACACAGCCTGTAGGAGGAGGTAGAGAGACACACACACACAGCCTGTAGGAGGAGGTAGTCACACACACAGTCTGTAGGATTAGGTAGTCACACACACACACACAGCCTGTAGGAGGAGGTAGTCACAGAGCCTGTATGAGGAGGTAGTCACACACACACAGCCTGTAGGAGGAGGTAGTCACAGAGCCTGTAGGATGAGGTAGTCACACACACAGCCTGTAGGATGAGGTAGTCACAGACACACACAGCCTGTAGGAGGAGGTAGTCACAGAGCCTGTAGGATGAGGTAGTCACACACACAGCCTGTAGGAGGAGGTAGTCACACACACACTGTGGCGAAAGCTGCCATTTGGCTGACATTGGAGAGGCCTGGCTGCCCGCCTCCTACCTGCTGACTATGGCCCCTTGTGAATTTGTACTTTTGAATACCATATTTGGGCATGTGGTATTTTATATTGCTGCTACTGGCCCTTTAAGGGCCATCCGTGGACATATGACTTTTTAGGAACAATATCCCTTTAAGACTTTGTAGCAGATTACAGTAAGGATGTCTTTTATATTATGTATGTCGGCTAGATTGTATATGTATATGCAGCATTCCCCTGATTGTTCGGTAGAATCACTCCATTCATTATATTGAGTGAAACTACCGAACAACCAGACCACCCAGGAATAAGTGTGCCTCCAATTACAGTTTGCAACAATGTTGCAAACGGGTAATTGTCAATCTATGTAATGTGTTCTTTGTCCTCTGGGTGGCCGCCATTCGGGAAACTAACACGTGGCGGCGGCCATCTTAAACTCCCGAACAGCAGTGTTTTGCCGTCGAGTGTCTGGAACTAAAATCGGACACTCGACTAGGCAAACACCGCTGAGACCTCCAGACTTCCATGAATTCGTGTGGAAACTACCGAATGACTCGCCGTTCGGTAGAAAGAATCCCATGAACAAGGGAATTCGTTTAAATCCTCCCCAGGCTCTGTAACCCAAGCAATTCGTGTGTTTCATTCCCTTTTCTGTGACCGACTGCAGGGCCAAAATACATGGAACTATTTTCGGATACTTTTGCCATGCAGTCGGTCAAAACTTTAACCCTCCATAATTCCCAAACCCCTGGTCCGATCTGGGTGATTTTTGGATATGTGTCTCACCCAGATCAGGGCTACCAGGGGATGTAACATTTAAAGGGGTATCCCTATGTTTAGGGGTACATCCAGTATCCCAGGGAATTTGTGTCTGGACTAATGGGATTATGTGTCACACTAAGGGGAGGAGATGTGTGGGAGGTAACTGGTACATTATTGGCTGGGGTACTAATTGTTGTGGATCCCTCCCTTGCATGGGAGAATGTCTTAAAAGGAGGTTGTGTGAATAAATCTTCAGATTCTGCTTAACCCTCAAAACGAAGTGTCATCTCGTTATTGGGGGAATTGGATTGTATGCTGACTGCCAGGAGTGTAACCCTTTCGTATGGTTTTCCTGTTCGGATATGTCCAGTGTTCCTGTGTTTCCAGTTCGGGAGATCGGTGCTTACAGTAGCTGTCGGTGTATCTGGAAAGGGGAATATCGCCTAAACGGTTTTTAACCTCTGGCGACCAAAACGGTCCGTCACACACACTGCCTGTAGGAGCAGAAAGTCACACACACAGCCTGTAGGAGGAGGTAGTCACACACAGCCTGTAGGAGGAGGTAATCACACACACACAGCCTGTAGGAGGAGGTAGTCACACACACAGCCTGTAGGAGGAGGTAGACACACACACACACACACAGCCTGTAGGAGGAGGTAGTCACACACACAGCCTGTAGGAGGAGGTAGTCACACACACAGCCTGTAGGAGGAGGTAGTCACAGAGCCTGTAGGATGAGGTAGTCACACCCAACTGTAGGGAGGAGGTAGTCACAGGCCTGTAGGATGAGGTAGTCACACACACACAGCCTGTAGAAGGGAGGTAGTCACACACACAGCCTGTAGGAGGAGGTAGTCACACACGCACAGTCTGTAGGAGGAGAAAGTCACACACACACAGCCTGTAGGAGGAGGTAGTTGCACACACACACACACAGCCTGTAGGAGGTAGTTACACACACACACAGCCTGTAGGAGGGAGGTAGTTACACACACACACACACACACACACACTGTAGGAGGAGGTAGTCACACACACAGCCTGTAGGAGGGAGGTAGTCACACACACAGCCTGCTTAGGAGGTAGTTACACACACACACACACACACACACACACACACACACAGCCTGTAGGAGGAGGTAGTCACACACACAGCCTGTAGGAGGAGGTAGTCACACACACACACAGCCTGTAGGAGGAGGTAGTCACACACACACACAGCCTGTAGGAGGAGGTAGTCACACACACACAGCCTGTAGGAGGAGGGAGTCACACACACCCTCAGGGAAGGATTGCTGCTGCTCTGTTACTTGCAGAAGATGTGATTTTTTTTTTCTTTCTGTTTCTGCCTGTATTCCTGGTTTGTGTTAACATGGAGGTTCTATCAGAATGTCTGCGTTCTCTGCTGCTATGCTCTATGATGGGTGAGTGTGCTGATCTCCTTATATACACACATTGTCAGCCATTCCATGCACACTGTATTATCTGTCAGAGGGAGAGTAACTGCAGCATGGGTGTGTATTGCCATGTAAATCCGGGAGAGCACTGACTGGAACGGCAGCCGGCTGCTTCAAATCACACTGGTCTGTGTATAGATGGCCAAGACAAACACTGGGCAATGTGTATACAGGATGGGCAAAGACAAACACTGGGCAATGTGTATACAGGATGGGCAGACACACACTGGGCAATGTGTATACAGGATGGGCAAAGACAAACACTGGGCAATGTGTATACAGGATGGGCAAAGACAAACACTGGGCAATGTGTATACAGGATGGGCAAAGACAAACACTGGGCAATGTGTATACAGGATGGGCAAAGACAAACACTGGGCAATGTGTATACAGGATGGGCAAAGACACACACTGGGCAATGTGTATACAGGATGGGCAAAGACACACACTGGGCAATGTGTATACAGGATGGGCAAAGACACACACTGGGCAATGTGTATACAGGATGGGCAAAGACACACACTGGGCAATGTGTATACAGGATGGGCAAAGACACACACTGGGCAATGTGTATACAGGATGGGCAAAGACAAACACTGGGCAATGTGTATACAGGATGGGCAAAGACACACAGTGGGCAATGTGTATACAGGATGGGCAAAGACACACACTGGGCAATGTGTATACAGGATGGGCAAAGACACACACTGGGCAATGTGTATACAGGATGGGCAAAGACACACACTGGGCAATGTGTATACAGGATGGGCAAAGACAGACACTGGGCAATGTGTATACAGGATGGGCAAAGACAGACACTGGGCAATGTGTATACAGGATGGGCAAAGACACACACACTGGGCAATGTGTATACAGGATGGGCAAAGACACACACACTGGGCAATGTGTATACAGGATGGGCAGACACACAGTGGGCAATGTGTATACAGGATGGGCAGACACACAGTGGGCAATGTGTATACAGGATGGGCAAAGACACACACTGGGCAATGTGTATACAAGATGGCCAAAGACACACACTGGGCAATGTGTATACAGGATGGGCAAAGACACACACTGGGCAATGTGTATACAGGATGGGCAAAGACACACACTGGGCAATGTGTATACAGGATGGCCAAAGACACACACTGGGCAATGTGTATACAGGATGGCCAAAGACACACACTGGGCAATGTGTATACAGGATGGCCAAAGACACACACTGGGCAATGTGTATACAGGATGGACAGGCACACACTGGGCAATGTGTATACAGGATGGGCAAAGACACACACTGGGCAATGTGTATACAGGATGGGCAAAGACACACACTGGGCAATGTGTATACAGGATGGCCAAAGACACACACTGGGCAATGTGTATACAGGGTGGGCAGACACACATTGGGCAATGTGTATATAGGACGGGCAAAGACACACACAATGAGCTGGGTATACAGGATAGGCAGAAACACTGGGCTGGGTTTACAGGATGGGCAGACACACTGGGCTGGGTATACAGCATGGGCAGACACACACTGGGCTGGGTATACAGCATGGGCAGACACACACTGGGCTGGGTATACAGCATGGGCAGACACACACTGGGCTGGGTATACAAGATGGACAGAGGCACACTGGGCTGGGTATACAGGACGGCCAGACACACACAGGGCTGTGTATACAGGATGGGCTAAGACACATTGGGCTGGGTATACAGGTTGGGCCAAGGTAGCCCCATTGGCCCTGGTCTATCTGTATATGGTTGGCAAAGGAAAGCACCGATTTATACTGGATGTACAAAGTAAAGAAGCAACTGTACTATAGATGTAGGTTGGGCAAGCTATATTATTAGTATATGAGCAATGCATGCAAGGTAGATGCAATACTAATGTCAAGATTATGTAACTGAATGTACATGGCAATATACATATATGTCCTCACAATGTTTTTTTCCTTAATTGATTTAAAAAAAAATTTCAATATAAAAATATATTATTACATATAACCAAGATGATTAATTTGCTGGTAACAATCAGAGAAATTGACAATAATTTTTTTTATGCAGAAGATATGTTAGTATGGAGATATAGTTTTAAAAGGTTTTCCTGTCACTTATTCTGGAAAGATATAAAGCTTCATAGTAATAATGAAATTCCTTCATTATTTTCCCTTTCATGTGCGGCAAAGGGACACTATCGGCATAAAAACAACTTTCACTTATTGAAGCAGTTTTGGTGCATAGATCATGCTCCAGCAGTCTCACTGCTCAATTTTCTGCCATTTAGTAGTTAAATCACTTGTTTTATGAAGACCTAGCCATACCTCCTTGCACGTGTCTTGCCCAGCTTTCCTAAACACTTCCTGTAAAGTGAGATCTAATGTTTAAATTTCCTTTTTTGCAAATTGTTTAATTTAGAATTATCATATCTTATCTCCTGCTTTGTTAATAGCCATCTAGACCCTACAGGATCCTCCTGTGTATGATTAAAGTTCAATTTACAGAGCAGGAGGTAAAAGCTTCTAAAACAAGTTAACATCTGATTGAAAATTAAACCATTTTTTTCATGCAGACTGGTGAATCACATCAGGGGAGGTGTGGCTTTGGCTGCATAAACAGAAACATGTTACTTAACTCCTAAATGGCAGATAATTGAGCAGTGAGACTGCAGGGGCACGATCTATAAACCAAAACTGTTTCATTAAGCTAAAATTGTTTTAGTGTCTATAGCGTCCCTTTACGTGAATTTGTCAACAAAACATTTGAGTATTTCAAAAAGGTAAAATTTTTATGGAATGCTCATATTGATAGCGTGGGACTTCATTGATATTACAAGGCAGTCCAAAAATATCATAAGACAAAGACTGACATGTTCTATGTCTTAGTGTCCAGGTAATTGCTTATAATAATACTGATAAGTGGTCCCTCTTTAAGATTAATGATTACCCTAGCTCACATGGTTACTCCAGCTCTCACTGAACCCACCTTAAAATCTACATAAGAAATAGGATAATAACATGATGCCATAGAATTTAAAACAGGCCGTTTGAACGTCTCCATAAAACTCTTTAAAACACTATTGAAAACCACAGATCACATGCTGAGCAGTAACAGGGTCAATAAAGTGATGAGACCAAACCCTCCCCTTGAGTTATCCCTCAAGGTATAATCATTGACCATAATGACGCCACCCTTAAAGTCTTCATAAGCTGGTTTATCTACCTCCTGGGGAATCAACCATAAGCTGCAATGGCCGTTTCACCCACAAGACTCTGATGGACAGAATCTGTCTTTCATTTTTGATCAGCCACTTAAAGGAGAATAGAATCTAGAAATTACTTCACTAAATAAAATGTAACTTGTGACTATAGTTACTAGAACAATAACAGCTTATTATATTTGTTCTGGTAAATATAATCATTACCTGCAGGCATTTTCATGCAAACAACTGCCTTTTTGGAGAAAATGCAGTTTTTACATTACAGCCTAGAGATAACTCTACTGGCCACTCCTCAGATGGCTACTAGAGGTGCTTACTGGGGCAGTGCTGTACAGTGTGCAGCACTGCCGGTCAGCGTCTCCACACTCTGCATGGAAATGCTGAACTTTCCTCATACAGATGCATTGAAGCAATGCATATCTATGAGGAGGTGCTGATTGGCCAAATCAGTGTTTGGCTCCGACCTGTCCCACCTACATGCAGATTTCAGCCAATCCAATGCTTTCCCTATAAGAAAGCATTGGATTGTCTGAAATCGTAAATTCTGAGAATGTCAGAAAGAAGGCAGATCGGGGGCAGGGACAGCGCCAGCAGATTCACGCGGCGCTGAAAATAAGGTAAGTTTTCTTACCCTTTAAGGGAGTTAAGGGGGGCACGCCACCTAAATGGTGATTTTAACACTATAGGGTCAGGAATCAAGTTTGTGTTTCTCACCCTATAGTGTTCCTTTAATGCAATATTTTGTTTTTTTAAAATGTTTAGTAAATATTTAATAAATAGCACAGTCTTGGTATATATTGGGTTGCATTGTATTGTATCTCTCTGACTGATAGGTGCAATGGACATATGTTATAACAGTGATTGACTGGAAGCCAAGATGGAGGCACCTAATTCCACCATAGATCTGTGTGGCTTTCTATGTTTAGTTTAATTGTATGCAAACACACATTTGTTAAATAGGGTATAATTAACATAATATTATAAATCTTGGAAAGTGATGCCCCCCTCCCTTTAAGAAGCCATTCCTTTATATTCTCAAAGGTTGAGAATTTTATCAAAGTAGGGGAAGACTTTGGTCTTGTCTAGGAAAAGCCAACAAATGCATCCATTACTCCCATTGCCATCAACATATCCTTAAAGGTTTTTTTTTATTATTATATAGTAGTATTTATATAGTGCCAACTTATTCCGCAGCCCTTTACAATATTATAAAAGGGGGAAATAATCAAAAAATTAGACGATTACAAAAAAAAATGACAGGAACAATAGGTTGATGAGGGCACTGCTCAAACGCGCTTACAGTTTACAGTCTAAAATAATAATTACTGAGCACATATTGTACTCAACAGGCCATTATATCCATTCGGTTCACATCCCATCAGCTTGTCCACAAGTAATGATTTTCTAGTTCACAAGCCTTTAAATTCTACTCTCCTCCCTTATTCACTACATTACGTGGTTCAATTATGCCATTGGGAACTGTGCCAAATACAGATTAAGGAACAGCGCACACACAAAATTACAGTTCTAAATTTTATAAGTTTATATTTTATACTTAAAATCACCTATCTCAGCGAAGAAATATGGAGATTCCGTTCCACCATATATCCATATTGTGTTAAGCCCTCCATTACTTCACAGTACCCCAATATCAGTGGGTCCTACACCAATTCCAACGTGGAGAAAAATTAAAGGATCACTATAGTGTCAGGAAAACAAACTTGTTTTCCTGACACTATATCATCCTTGGGGGACCCTCACCCTCAGGGTCCCCCTCCCGCTGGGCTGAAGGCGCTTCAGCAACTTATCTTTATCCAGCGCCGGGCTCCCTCGGCGCTGGTGACCTCTCCTCCCCCACCAACATCAGCTCCCGATTGGAGTGGAATGTGCACGCATGGCAAGCGCCGCGCGCACATTCAAACAGTCCATAGGAAAGCATTTCTCAATGCTTTCCTATGGATGTTCTGCACGTTAGATGTGAATTTCGCATCCAACGTCACAGAAGCGCCTCTAGCGGCCGTCAGGAAGACAGCCACTAGAGGTTGGATTATCCCTGCTATGTAAACATAGTAGTTTCTCTGAAACTGTTATGTTTATATGCAAAGGGTTAAAACCTGAGGGACCTGGCACCCAGACCACTTTATTGAGTTGAAGTGGTCTGGGTGACTATAGTGTCCCTTTAAATAGTGCTAAATGAACTAAAGTGTATTTTAATAATCTGTTAAAAAGAACATTGAATATATACCATGCAAAACGAATGTGATAAAAAGAAAATACAGTGTCATAACTAAATATTCGAAGAGATAGTGTGTTATGTATATACTCACAATGCATATCATATAATATCTGTTTTATATCATATAAAAGTTATTATTAAAGTGACATTGCTATACAAAACCTCACATTTATACTTTCTTGTGGTCTCCACATCAGGAGTGTCTGAAGCAGACTGGCAGGGTGGGGTGTTCAACCCAAAAGGAACTGGTCTGAACTGAGAATACATTTGAGGAGGTTTTGTATAGTGTGGCTAAACCAACCTCGCCTCTGGGCACTGGAGAAGCCTGGTTGCCAGCCTCCTGCCTCATGACTATGGCCCCCTCTCATCAGCCCATGCTAAACTTAAACCCCATGGCGATTTGACTGTGTTTGTGGTATCTGAGCGCTGTTTAGATATATTGAGCGCTCAGATCCAAGCCATCTGGGGATAGGTTAAATTATTATTATGATATTTATAGAGCGCCGTCAAATTCCACAGCGCTTTACAATGGGTGGACGAACAGACATGTAGTTGTAACCAGACAAGTTGGACACACAGGAACAGAGGGGTTGAAGGCCCTGCTCAATGAGCTTACATGCTAGAGGTAGTGGGGTAAAATGACACAAAAAGGTAAGGATAGTATTAGACTAGTGACAGTTGCAGAAGAGGAATCAGTCAGGAGCTATTAACAGTTTAATTGATACGCTTTTATGAAGAAGTAGGTTTTTAACGATTTTTTGAAGGAGTAGAGACTGGGTGAGCATCTAACGGAGGAGGGAAGCGAGTTCCACAGGAACGGTGCAGCCCTGGAAAAGTCTTGAAGGCGAGCATCAGAGGTGGGAGTACGGACAGAAGATAGACGTAAGTCTTCATTAGATCGTAAGGGCCTAGACAGACATACTTTTGTATTATGGAGGATAGATAGGTGGGAGCAGCATTATGTAGAGATTTGAAAGCAAGAACCAGAATTTTAAATTGAGCTCTATATTTTATAGGAAGCCAATGTAGTGACTGACAGAAGGGTGAGGCATGGGAGGTGCGGGCGGACAGGAAGATGAGCCTCGCCGCCGCATTCATTATGGACTGTAACGGCGCAAGTTGGGAGCACGTAAGACCACTGAGAAGCGGATTACAGTAGTCAAGGCGAGAGAGGACAGTGGAATGGACCAACACCTTAGTCGCATCTGGCGTTAAGTAGGGGCGGATGCGCGCAATGTTTTTGAGATGGAAATGACAGGATTTGGCGATAGATTGAACATGAGGCTTGAAGCAGAGGTCGGAGTCAAAGAGAACACCTAGGCAGCGAGCCTGCGTGGTGGAGCTGATGGTAGCACCGTTGACTTGGAGGGAGACAGACACAGGAGTAACAACACTTGAGGTAGGAAAGACCAGAATTTCAGTTTTGGTAAAGTTTAGTTTAAGGAAGTGGGCAGCCATCCAGTTAGAAACAGCAGAGAGGCAGTCAGAGACACTAGTCAAGAGGGACGGGGAGAGATCAGGAGAGGACAGGTAGATTTGCGTGTCATCGGCATAGAAATGATATTGGAAGCCAAGCTAATGAGTTTACCAAGGGAGGCAGTATAGATGGAGAACAGCAGTAGGGGACCAAGGACTGAAACTTGGGGGACACCAACAGAGAGGAGTTGGGGAGAAGAAGCAGAGCCAGAGAAAGAAACACTGAAAGAGCGCTGGGAGAGGTAGGAGGAGCACCAGTAGAGAGCAATATCTTGTAGACCGATATTGCGGAGGATGAGAAGAAGCTGTTGATGATCAACAGTGTCAAAAGCTGCATACAGGTCAAGGAGAATTAGGATAGAGTAGTGACCACGAGATTTTTGCAGCGAGTAGATCATTGGATACTTTGGTCAGTGCCGTTTCCACAGAGTGCTTAGCGCGGAAATCAAACTGAAGCCGGTCTAGCAGAGAGTTGGACTCGAGGAAGTCTGTCAATCTCGCATACACAATTTTTTCAAGGATCTTGGATGCAAAAGGCAGTAGCGATAGGACGATAGTTGGATGGGGAGTTAGGGTCAACATTGGGCTTCTTTAGAATTGGGGTTACAGTTGCATGTTTGAAGGGCAATGGAAATATACCAGAGGAGAGAGAGAGATTGAGAATTTTAGTGAGTTTGAGAAAGAGAAGAAGACAGAGTACGAATGAGATGCGAGGGAATTGGATCTAGGGAGCAGGTGTTGGGGCGGGAGGACTGGAGCAGAGCAGAAACCTCTTCCAATGTAGCGGGTGCGAATGAACATAGAACAGCAGAGGGAGTGAAGTTAGGGGAAGTATTGTAAGGGGAAGAAGAAAGATGAGATCTCTTCTCTGAATGTAGAGATCTTGTCAGTGAAGTGAGTTGCAAAGTCTGAGGCGGTCAAGTTAGTAGGTGGAGGAGGAACAGCAGGGTGAAGAAGAGAGTTAAATGTGTGAAATAGTCGTTTGGGTTCGCGGGAGAGTGTGGTTATGAGGGTATTAAAGTAATTAACTTTTGCAGAGGAAAGAGCCAAGCTGTATGAGCTCAGCATAAATTTATAGTGGAGAAAGTCAGATGCACAGTGAGACTTTCTCCAACAGCGTTCAGCAGTTCTGGAGCATTTTTGGAGGTATCGAGTGAGCTTGGTGTGCCAAGGTTGTTGTTGGGGGGGCCTGCGGCGTTTAAATGTACAAGGTGCCATGATGTCTAGTTGAAAGGAGAGGGTGGAATTGTAGAAGGAGGTTGCAGAACTAGAACAGGTGAGGTTTGAGATAGGTAAAAGGAGACTTTGGAGATTAATGGAGAAATGCTCTAGCTCACTGAAGGAATGGGCTTGCAAAGTTGGGGAATCAGGCTGTTGAATAAAGAGATGTGAGGGTCAGAGAGCTTGCAATAAAGGTAAGGGAGGGTGAAATGTATCTAGGTACAGAGATGAAGAAATGGTTATTCAAATAAAAACAAACATATCAATAAGAAAAGGGAGGGGTCAGAGGTCAGTCACAAATCAGAGGGGAAATAGAGGAATGCATATAGGTGAATAAAACAATTACATACAGGGCTAGCAAAACCACACTTTAGCATAACAGACAAGATATAAATACAAGAAAATAAGAATATATACAATGTACACAGGATATATTAAATTAAATAAAATAAATGTTCAGGGTGGTTAAGTTAAAAATAAATGAAGTTGTGCAGGTTAGAGTCTTAGTGTTGTCTTCCAGAAGGCTACCTTTGCAGACGATCAGGCTTGCTCACTGAAGGAATGGGCTTGCAAAGTTGGGCTAACTTTTAAACCAATGGAAGAAATTGCCTGATTTTTTGAGTATGTTTGTTTGTATTTGGAGTATGCTGATTCTGAAAATGTACGTTTTATGTGAATGTGATGTATACTTTTAAAGTTATGAATATTGTGTAAAACTGTATTTTCCTGCCTGTGATAATTACGTTAGCCCATTGTGTTCAGTAATTATATCACAGGCAGAGGGGAGGATTTTGCTGGAATGAATGGGAGTGTTTTATCTGTGTTGTATGTTTTGATTGGATGTTCCACAAAACCCTGTGGGTGGGACTTTTGTCTGTAAAATGTGTATATAAGGCCAATAAAGACACAGCTCAATCTGTTCCTGTTTGACCCTCAACACAGAGCCTTGTCTCGTTCTTGGGGGGATTTATTGTATGCTATTCCAGTTCGACTGTTAGGAGTGTAAACCTTTCGTATGGTTTTTCCTATTCGACTTTTTGGAGCATTCATATGGTTCTGGTTCGGCTGTTTACAGCATTCAGATGGTTTCCTGTTCGGCGGATTGATGTCTTTAATAGCTGCCTATATATCTGGAAGGGAATACCCCTTTTTTTGCCTGGGGGGTGCCGTTACATATAGCAATGCCACTTTATTAATATTTTTTATTTCACATAGAGCAGATATGAGATGCATTGTGAGTATACATATAAAAACACTATCACTTTGATTATTTAGTTCGGTAATTATACTATTTTTTGTGTTTTTTTTTTTTTATCACATTCATTTTTCATGATAAATATTCATAATGCTCTTACAATTCATTTCTGTGTGCGCGCTGTTCCTTAATCTGTATTGTGTATTGTATTGTGATCTTTTGACCAGCATTCAAGTCGGGGAGCATTTGGGAAATAGTGACCACTATATGGTTATCTTTGAAATAAACTCAAAAAAGCAAAAGCAAGTGGGGTATACTAAAACGTATAATTTTTAAAAAGCCAATTTTAATAACATTAGGTCAGATCTACAACATATCGACTGGCATAAATTCCTTTGTGGGAAAAAACACGGAGGATAAATGGAAACTATTCAAACAAATATTAGAAAGGTACATTTCTCAGGATGTACCATTGGGTAATAAATATAAAAGAAACAAATCGAAACCTATGTGGCTTAGTAGAGAAGTAAAACAAGAGATTAAAAATAAGAAAAGGGCATTTAAATCGGACAAATCAGAGGCATCCTATATATAAGATATAAGGAATAGAGCTGTTTGTGGCGAACTCCGGTCAGCTGACACGTCCCGGCCAATCTCCAGCAGACCCTCCCTCCCAGACCCTCCTACTTCCTGGACAGCATCCATGTTTCAACATGGATGCTGTCCAGGAAGTAGGAGGGTCTGGGAGGGAACATCCATGTTTCAACATGGATGCTGTCCAGGAAGTAGGAGGGTCTGGGAGGGAGGGTCTGCTGGTGATTGGCCGGGACGTGTCAGCTGACCGGAGTTCGCCGCGAACAGCTCGTGGCGAACCGTTCGCGAGAAGTTCGCGGACGGTTTGCGACATCTCTAATAAGGAAGCCAATAATGCTTGCAAACAGGCAATTAAAGGACCACTATAGTGCCAGGAAAACATACTCGTTTTCCTGGTACTATAGTGCCCTGAGAGTGCCCCCACCCTCAGGTACCCCCTCCCGCCGGGCTCTGGGGAGAGGAAGGGGTTAAACTCACCTCTTTCTCCAGCACCGGGCGGGGAGCTCTCCGCCTCCGATCCTCCTCTTCGGCTGAATGCGCATGCGCGGCAGGAGCTGCGCGCGCATTCAGCCAGTCTCATAGGAAAGCATTCATAATGCTTTCCTATGGATGCTGGCGTCTTCTCACTGTGATTTTCAGCCACTAGAGGCTTAAGAGGCTGGATTAACCCATTTATAAACATAGCAGTTTCTCTTGCAGAGGGATTTAGATAGATTGGGGGACTGGGCACTAAAATGGCAGATGAAATTTAACGTAGAGAAATGCAAAGTTATGCACTTCGAGGTCAAGAATGCACAAGCAACTTACACCCTAAATGGTAGTGAATTAGGGATAACCACACACGAGAAGGATTTGGGAATTGTTATAGACAACAAGTTAAACAGCAATATGTAATGTCAATCTGCAGTTGCTAAGGCCAGTAAGGTTTTGTCATGTATAAATAGGGGCATAAATTCTCGAGATGAAAATATAATTTTGCCTCTTTATAAATCGCTGGTAAGACCACACCTTGAATATGCTGTGCAATTTTGGGCACCTGTTCTAAAGAAAGATATCATGGCACTAGAAAAAGTGCAGAGACGAGCTACAAAATTGATTAAAGGAATGGAGCATTTTAGTTACGAAGAAAGGTTAAAACATTTATATCTCTTTAGTTTGGAAAGACGGCGTCTCAGAGGGGATATGAAAACATTATACAAATATATTTGGGCCAGTACAAACCATTATCTGAAAATCTGTTCATAAACAGGGCTATACATAGGACACAAGGTCACGCATTTAGGCTGAAAGAAAGGAGATTTCAACTAAGGCCAAGATAAAGTTTTTCTTACAGTAAGAGCAATAAGGATATGGAATTCTCTGCCTGAAGAGGCGGTTTTATCAGAGTCCATACAGATGTTTAAACTGAAATTGTATAAATGCATGCAAAAACATAACATAGAGGGATATAATTTCTAATTAGTGGGGTAATAGCTGCTTGATCCAATGAGATATCTGACTGCTATTTTGCGGTCAAGAAGGATTTCCCCCCTAGTTTAAAGGACCACTATAGTGCCAGGAAAACCCTAGTTTTCCTGGCTCTATAGGGTCTGTAGGTCCCTCCCCACCCTCAGGGCCCCCCTCCCGCCGGGCTCTAGGGGGTGGAAGGGGACTCTCCTCCTCCTCCTCCTTATCATCGGCTGCATGCACGGCACGAGCCGCGCGCGCATTCAGCCAGTCCATAGGAAAGCATTCTCAATGCTTTCCTATGGACGCTGGCGTCTTCTCACTGTGAAAATCACAGTGAGAAGCGCAGAAGCGCCTCTAGCGGCTGTCAATGAGACAGCCACTAGAGGCTGGATTAACCCTATTAGAAACATAGCAGTTTCTCTGAAACTGCTATGTTTATAGAAGAAAGGGTTAATCCTAGCTGGACCTGGCACCCAGACCACTTCATTAAGCTGAAGTGGTCTGGGTGCCTATAGTGGTCCTTTAAGGAAGGCTGAACTTAAAGGACCACTCTAGGCACCCAGACCACTTCACCTTGATGAAGTGGTCTGGGTGCCAGGTCCAGCTAGGGTTAACCCATTTTTTAATAAACATAGCAGTTTCAGAGAAACTGCTATGTTTATGAATGGGTTAAGCCTTCCCCCTAATCCTCTAGTGGCTGTCTCATTGACAGCCACTAGAGGCGCTTGCGTGATTCTCACTGTGATTTTCACAGTGAGAGCACGCCAGCGTCCATAGGAAAGCATTATGAATGCTTTTCTATGTGACCGGCTGAATGCGCGCGCAGCTCTTGCCGCGCGTGCGCATTCAGCCGACGGGGCGGATCGGAGGAGGAGAGGAGGCAGAGAGCTCCCAGCCCAGCGCTGGAAAAAGGTACGTTTAAACCCCTTTCCCCTTTCCAGAGCCGGGCGGGAGGGGGTCCATGAGGGTGGGGGCACACTCAGGGCACTATAGTGCCAGGAAAACGAGTATGTTTTCCTGGCACTATAGTGGTCCTTTAATGGACGCAAGTCTCTTTTCAGCTATGTAACTATGTATGTGTATGAATTTTGGTCTTTGTGGCAGCACCACTTCTGAAAAATGCATGTTCTGGGGGTTACCCCAATCCCCTCTTCTTTTTTTATTTTTATAATTCTCTATTTTGGTTACATAGTTACATAGCTGAAAAGAAACTTGCGTCCATCAAGTTCAGCCTTCCTCACATATGGTTTTGCTGTTGACCCAAAAGAAGGCACAAAACTCAGTCTGTAGCACTTCCAATTTTGCAACAAACTAGGAAAAAATTCCTTCTTGACCCCAAAATAGCAGTCAGATGTCTCCTTGGATCATGGTTGTGCCAGGAGAAGTATGTAGAATCTTGCAATGCCACAACAGCACTAACAAGATGCAACCATAAATATATAAAAACACATATCAGGCAGAGCAGTAAAAGTTGCAGCATGTGACATTGTAAAAGTCAAGCACATTTTTTTTTTTTTTAATAAAATAATCATGTCTAGGACTATACTCATAAGTGAAGGCTGGGCTGAACATTGGACATTTAGTATAACAGACAAAAGTAGGCATAATATTACAAGTTAAGTTGGCTTCAAGTTGCTAAAATTGCCTATATGGGAACCACGGAAACGATAAAGCTCACTGCATGAAACAAGGTAACAAAGTAGGGTAAAAGGAAGTAGCAGCGGAAATAATTAAAAAAAAAGAAGTCTTGCCTAGGTAGTTTTGTGAAAGTCATACGATGACTGTTAGCATAAAGGCATGTAAATCTAATGTTGTTGGCTCAGAAAATTGTTCAACCTCTCCCCACGGGCGGTAGGGTTGGTACACAGCAGGGCATAAGCATGAGGGATGCGTCGCTTCACCAGATCTGGAACACCCTTCAGTCCCAAGCTTGCATGAGAGCCGGCATCTGGAGTACACAGACTTGGAGACACTTCGGTACCAAGTCTTTCCCCCTTCTGAGGTAGTCGGTAGAACCAGGTGGTATCCTTCGCTGTCTGTGGGTGGTCTTCGACTGGCGTGAGTGATGCGATGAGGCAATGCCCCGTAGTGCACTCAGCCCAGGTAGGTGAATAGTAGGTGAGTGTGATGCTTGTGGGTTCGAGTGTCTCCGAGGGAGTCCCCTCTTCCCCAGCAAAACAGAGATCCTCTTTTCCATCCTTGGTTTGAGCAGCGGTGCTCGTGCTCGTTCCTGTAGTCTCTACCAGAATAACTGGAAAATCTCATCCAGGCGTTGCAAGGTGCACTCAAGTTGGCTGCCATGATGGGCCGAGGCCCTGAGAGGTGGGCTGAGACACAGTCACCATCTTGTTGATCATAGGAGACAGAGTTCAAAGCTGTTATCAGGGTTCAAAGCTGAGCACTGGGCAGGTGTAGCAAAACCTGCTTGTTGGGTTTCAGTGGGGACCGGGATAACCCCCACCGGTCCAGGTCCATGCTGTGGTTATAAGAGAGAGAAGATCGACTGGCTTTCCCCTTCTCTGAGTTTTGCATCCAGAGTCGCAGAAGCGCGTATAGCAGCTGTCCGGAAGACAGACACTAAAGGGTTGGGGTAACCCTGCTCTGAAACTGCTATGTTTACATTTGAAGGGTTAAAACCTGAGGGACCTGGCACCCAGACGACTTCTTTGAGCTTAAGTGGTCTGGGTGACTATAGTGTCCCTTTAAGTCTATATAAGAACATTTTAGCACGTGTACTGTGCCCTTTTGTGGTTTCCATTTAATGGTTGTCCAATAGGGCACTTTTCTTCTAGTATATATTGGCTTTTCTGATCTCAGCTTATTTACAGACTTTTTTCTATTCTGATGTCCCTGACCTTTGTCTTGTCTTATCATATATGTTACATTCTGTCTTGCTGACCATGGCTTGTCTTGTACTTCTCTATTTTGCCTTAAGTCTGGCCACTCTAAGACCCAAAAATACTCATTGTTCTGTTTCAACTTTTGTATTGTTAACTTGGGTTCTTCATTTTGGGTCATATTTAATCCTGACACTCTTTTACCAGTAGTTTTACACAATATTCCACAACGTATGATTTCCTTCTGGTTGAAAGTCAGTATAGTGTGGTCGGTGGGGCACTATGGATTATGCATATACACATATATCACATCTGTTAAATGTCTACTGGTAGGGAAAAGGATTTAGGGCCTATCCTCAATACAGACAGAGTACCAAATCCCAGTCTCAGATCTTCTGATTTCTCCACATCAAACATTATGTTCAAACACATGTGAAGCTACATTGAGTTCCCATATTCATGGTCTTTGAACAGCTCTTTACTGCATCTCACAAAACTTTTAAAACCATCATTATTGCTCCTTCTGGGATTCTTTGTGGTCATAACTCCACAATTACTGTATATAAAAAAAAAGAAGAAGATGATTTTGGGGCTTCCATCCCTTGAGAATTGCGTTCTAAGATTTTCACCAGTATGCATAAAATCACTGGCCAAAAATAGATTTAAAAATGCCTTGAAAGTCCTTTTTTGGTGGTAGTTCAGTCTTCTCCATTTACAATAAATATCCTCTACCTCTACGGGGTGGGTTTTTGCGACAAGTGTTCTACTTCCACTTGTGGTGGAGTCCCCTCTTCTAATATCGCTCTGACAAGAAGTATTAAGGGTCCTCCACATTCCACTAGCAATCAAACATTTAGCAAACCCTTGATTCCACCACAATAATCTAATGGGACAACATGTCCCCTGATGCTTTGCCAGCATTATGGATGCAAGAGAATCATGGGAGGTGTAATCCACAACATCTGCAGTGCCAAAGGTTAACACTATAGTGTTAGGAATAGAGTTTTGTATACCTAATGCTATAGTGTTCCTTGAAGTGCTTGAGAGGTTCTGGAGTTTTCTGTTAAAGGACCACTATAGTGCTAGGAAAACAAACTCATTTTCCTGGCACTATGGTGCCCTGAGGGTGCCCCCATCCTCATGGTCCCCCTCCGCCCGGCTGAGGTTGGAGGAAGGGGTTAAATCCTCCTCCTTTGGACGTTATCGCGCACAGTCAGTCAGTCCATAGGAAAGCATTCACAATGCTTTCCTATGGACGCTGGCGTCTTCTCACTGTGAAAATCACAGTGAGAAGTGTGGAAGCGCCTCTGGTGGCTGTCAATGAGACAGCCACTAGAGGCTGGATTAACCCATAGGTAGACATAGCAGTTTCTCTGAAACTGCTATGTTTACAGCAGGCAGGGTTAACCCTAGATGGACCTGGCACCCACACCACTTCATTGAGCTGAAGTGGTCTGGGTGCCTATAGTGGTCTTTTAAACCAAGCATCCATTCTTTCTTCATTTATTCTGCTTTGTCCACTTTAAATATAAGTCCTTCCTTTTTTCTCCAATAAAATTTTTTTTTTACTTTATATATAAAATTTTATCATTTTTACTAATTGCTCAACAAAGCTGTTTTAAAAACGGAACACTTTTTTTGTATTGTTGTTCGGCTCAGAATATAATTGAAGTGGCTATGGGAGGGTTTCATGGTGCATATGAAAATATTTCTATGCAATATTTGCCCCCTTTCACAACCGTTTATATCTGCAGAATATAATGTAAATGTTGTTTCCGTGGCTTACACTCCCAGAAAAAGTGAACTTTAGCCTTTTTACTAGACCTTGATAATACATCACATTATTTATTGCTTGGTAACTGTATCTATGTAAAGATAGGTAAATAGTAGGAGAGGAGATGCTTGGTTGCAATAGATTTAACACAGACTGCATAGTCCCAAGGCGTAATGCACGTATTATGAGTCATATAGGTACAGTGTGAAATATATGCTCTAGTGACTCTACAGATGGCAATTATAAAGCATATAAACATATACATGCTTAGTGCATTTGTGATTTATATACTAGATACTGTAAAGACACAGATCATAACAGTCTATGAACTGTGCAGATACTGGGTGGAATGCATATCACAGGTACTGCATGTACAAAGAACAGACCTCCGACTCCTCCCCAGCTTATTACCTCTGTTGGTATAAGGGTTGTGGAGAGGAGTCTGGATTTACCTAAAGTCCCTGGTGCCTAGTGGTGGGGAAGCAAAGGAGATGAGCACTGACTCGCACAGACTCCTTCCGTCTTCCTTATCCATAGGAACAGGCAGTGTGTGTGTTGGCGTATCACTTTGTATGTATGTATGTGGATGTGTGGCACCTGGTGTAATTAAGCAGATGGCTGTCTGAATAAAAAAAAAAATGGAACCCAGTTGCCCTTTGCTAAAATTTGACCCTGCTAAATACAATGTGTGCTTAACATAAAACAAACTATATAGTCGTCTAATGTAATGTATTTGAAACGCACTACCAAGGCACAGAGTATAATGTACATAGTAGGGAATCTAGGCACAGACTGAAATATAGTTGATAGAGAATATTTATCAGATTGTTCTGAAAAGTGACTGTTAAAGGAACTGTAACGGAGCTCGGTACTCAGCCCGAGTGTCTCCGTTAATATCCCTCCTTTTCCGGCAGGACACGTTCAATGATTATAGCACATCCAAGCAATGATTATAGCTCACCCAAACATCAGCCTAGACTTGCTGAATGGTGAAAACAAAAGACACTTTATTTGGTTCAAATGTGCATATTTATCCGCAGACACCCGGCAGGGGGTCGTTAACTGAAACAATAGAGATCCCACCCAGCCGACTCTATGTCTGTGAGTTAACTAGGTCAAGAAACGCTGATGTAATCAACCTCCAGACAGCAAGGTGCTGTTACAGAATATCCCCAAACACAAATATAAACATCACAAAATGCCATGTGTGGCATCCCCGGATCTGTCACAGGCGGTCCTAGCTATCTCAGATTAAAGTTTCAACAGCAGTTTAAATGCTATAGTTTTTAAATACCTATTTTTGTGTCCCCCTGCCATTTAAGGTTTGAAAGGTAAGTATTACTTACCTTAAAACCTTTGCTAAGCTGGTTTCCACAATGTCACTCTACCTCCTTGGCTGAGATCATCACTGAAGATGATCTCAGCCAATCCAATATTTCCTCATAGGGTGAAACATTGGCAGGCTAGTGCACATTGGGACTATTGGGAGTTTAACTCGCCTATTGGGGCAGAAGCACCTCTAATGACTGCAACAAAGACAGCAATTAACACTGCAATGTTTCTGCAAAACATGTTTTCAGTTGCAGGATTAAATCAGACCGGCACATGGCATGGTCTGGGCGACTACAGAGCCCCTTTAACATTTCAACACTCTTCTGTTGGAAAAATATTTTAATGGTGTTTGTTGGCAGAAAAAATGACGCATATTTAAAAAGGACGATTAGGGCCCCAAAAAAGCAACATATGAAAATATCTAAAAATTTGTGGAAAATTAGACTGAAAAATTTTGGCAATACTTTGATAAATATCCCCCAGTATGTAAAAATAATATGATTTGGCTTATATAAGTACAAGATATCCTTTAATATTGGAGTCCTTGCATGCACAGCTTGTAATATATATATATATATATATATATATATATATATATATATATATATATATATAATATTGGAGGTATAGTCACAGCCTATAATGTGTATATAAGGGAATGTATAGGCACTGGATGTAATGTTTAGAAGTGGATTTTATCAGAAAGGGACTGCATAGACCATGGACATAAATTGTACTGGATTTCTGTGATGTGGGTATTTTTGCTAAGTATATGTTTTCTATTTGAATCTTACAGTACTCTGCAGATCCCGGGAGGTACATATGCCTAGTGGTCCATTGTATCGTGTTGAAGGAACTTCCATTTCAATCCCCTGCAATGTAACTGGATATGAGGGTCCGTCCACACAGAACTTTGAGTGGTTTATATACAAACCTGCTTCTCCTGACATTTCAATCTCTATAGTCAGTACTAAAGATCCAGCCTTTGCGTACGCTGTGTTTGTTCCCCGCGTGAAGAGTGGTGATGTGTCCATCCATCGAGTAAGTGGAGACAGCGTTGAGCTACGCGTTAGGCGTCTACTGAAAGAGGACAGCGGCGTTTATGAATGTTATACCCCTACTACAGACGCAAAATATCTTGGAAGCTACAGTGATAAGGTTCTACTAAATGGTACGGAATGTCTTGCATACTAAATCCAACAAACATTTTCATCTTCCACGTCAAACTGGTTTAGTACTTAAAATACAGTAAACGAGTACCTTCTCATTGGTGTAGAAAATATTGCACACCAGCCATGGCAAACCAGCTCACCGTTTAATGCTCTTTGCAGCAACGTTACCCACTGGCCCTTGCTAGCTAGGTCAGCTCTCTGCTCTGTGCCAAGCATATCTGGCATACAGCTCCCTGTTGCTTACCAAACATATAACTACATTTTGGTAATGTTAATGTTAGTATAAAGTTGATAAAATCGCTCACCTCTCAGAACATTAGACTCTGTAAACCAGTTCCCAGTGGGTGTACAGTAGTTTTCAAAGATACTTTCAAATTCCTGTTCCTACCACATTCATTGGTTATATTTGTTAACTGGTTGAACAATCTTTAATCTGCGCAGAACTCTTTTCATGTTAGATCTGGTCTGCTGGCTCACTCGATTCTTCTATACAGAGCAAGGTACATGCTAGCTCCTTATAACTGGCTCACTTCGCTCATCATTGTGCAGTACATGCCAAGAATAAACTGTCTCACCTCCACTGTCCTTTATTTTTGTTTATAATTAATTCTGCCTCTTTTTCCCCAGTTATTCCAGATGCCCTGCAAGTTTCAACCAAGTCTTCACCCAAGGGTCGTCTTGCGTCATTGCCACCTTTGCAGGTAACCCTAACAGAGGGTAGAGAGCTTCATTTGAGCTGCACGGCGCAGACAGAGTCTGACCAGCATACTCACCTCTCTGTTTCATTTGGAGTCACTGCCCCAGAAACCCCTGTAGGGCGACAAACCTTGCAGGACATTGTGTTGGTACAGCGAGATTTCAGTGTGGAGCCAGCCTCGCCAGCTTATACTGAGCGGTACCTTAATGGGGAGATCCACGTGGAGAAAGGCGACAGTGCCACCTATAAGATGTTAATCTCCCGGGCACAACCACGGGACTCGGGTACATACCACTGCACAGCAGCAGAGTGGATCCAGGATCCCGATGGAAACTGGCAAAAAATCAATGAGAAGAGGTCTGTCCTGGCTGAGGTCAACATCCAAACAATCGGTGAGGTTCAAATCCAGAGGAAGAATGTTGGGCATGTGTTTAAAGGTAGAAGGAGACAAGTTGTAGACTTGAGAATGAGATAGGTATGAGGTTCTCAGCAATTACACTTTCCAGATAATGTTCCTCTGATTTTTATTTTATAGTAAAGTGTCTATATTTTCTTATGAACACATGTTTGTATTGAATAGGATTTGATTTTGGCTCTTTGACAGAGCTCAGCTATTAGAAATAAGTAATGAATATAATGTGTTCCCTAGAGGCAGTGTAGATTTGTAACCCTATTATAGAATCTGCTTTACATTTAAGGTTATATAATAAAGCCCAAGTAATCAATTAAGAGCTTCATAATATGGCTGTAGATACAAAACCATTGGCACTTAGAAGGAAATATCCGTCCAAAATGTTATGCATTGTTTTGAACAATATTCCATTTGAAACACATTGTAAGAAATGAGCCACTCTCTGCAGTTCCTTCCTGCTTTCATTCTGTTAATTCGTTTTAGATTCCCAACTGAAAGTCAGCGCTCAACCCAGAGAAATTCAGGTGCGTTCTGGAGATACAGTGGAGATTTTCTGCAATGTATCAATGTCTGCTCTGCCTCCTCCTGACGTGGCGTTTAATGTTGAATGGTGGGTGGCCTTCTCCCCGGATTCTGGCGGGCAGCTTGTGGCTGCAATGAGCATGGATGGAATTGTGTCATTGGGAACGAGGTACACAGGGTATGATGTTGGAGTGCGGCATATCTCTCTGGAGAAGCTGTCACCTAACCCGGGGTCTTTCCGCCTTCGTATATACTCTGCTCAGCCAGGAGATGTGGGATCGTACACTTGCAAGGTCAAAGCATTTGTGTCATACCCCAGCCAGAAGATGGAACAAGTGTCCAGCAAAGTGTCGCAGAGTGTAGCAGTGAAAATGAGGACTCAAGGTCAGAGCTATGTTGGTTTCTGTTAATTTTTTTTGATAATTAATTTTAGTTATTTTTTTTTTTTAAAGTAATCTTTTTTTCAAATATGTTTCAGATGTTATGCTGAATTCCTACATGTTTATGGACTTGCCCACACTGCACCGTGGAGACACTGCCACTCTATTCTGCAATGTTACTGTCGACACAGTGCAGCCGGTCCACATTGCGGTCAGCTGGTGGGTGGAACTGACTGAGGAGTCACCGAAAGAGACAACTGGTCATTTCATAGCCTCAGTGAACCGGCAAGGTGTATCAGAAATCGGGACCCACTTCTCCCAAAGAGACATGAGCATGGACAAGGTGGGACCAGAAACTCATCGGCTACGTATTTATAACATCCAATTTGAGGATGAAGGGAAATACCACTGTGCAGTAAATGCCTGGATCCAATATCCTGACCACAGCTGGTACAATGCCGCATCTGTTAAGTCCAACTCAGTCACAGTATATCCCTACTCACAGGGTAAGTTGCATGCTCACTGAGGAGGACCTCAATCTTGAGATTCTTCTACTGTCATCACAATTTAAAATGATCAAACATCTCATAATTCTTGTTCATGAAGTAGAACAGGAGGACATTCTCCTCAGGCATCTTATGTCTCCTCTAATGTACCCTGTTTGCTACTTGTTGATTCATGGTTGTTACATTTGTGGTTACTGGAAATGAAATTTTAACCAAAATAGCAAAATTGTGAGAAGAAAAAAAAAAAAAAAAGACAGCCCATTTCCAGCATACCTATATTGGGTTGGAATTTGTAACTCCTGTTCAATTCTCATCAATTCCCTGTTTAGTGAATACACCTTTTTCTTTTGCATCTCCATTACCCCTTTTTCTGCTAAGGTCCGTCACTCCATTTTTCTGCTGTTCTGAGTCCTTTCCGTCTCCCCAATTTATTCTGTTCTTTCTATTTTACAGTTAAGGATCTTCTTCTGATCCCAATGGTTGCCGGAGTTGCCAGTGCCCTGTTTGTTGGTATCACTGTATTATCTGCAGTAACTTGCTGTTACATGAGGCAACTACGAAAGCACAAGAGGTGAAGCTCTCTGAGTCTCTACTACAAGGAGACAAGACCGGTACGTACCTACCCGCAGATAAATAATTTATACATAAACCTGCCATTTGGTGCAAGCTTGTTTGGCTTATTTCCTCAAAGTGTTCAGTTGCCTATTGAGTGTTTGGTGAGAGAAAGGGACAATCCCTCGCTTGGTCCTTGACCTGTCTGGTTGTGGAGTCTCGCTGAAGGAAGTCCATCCCACTTGGATCAATGGAGGTTATACTGGTCCCCACTAAGCAGGATTCTGCTCCTGTCAGTCACAGATTGTCCCAGCATTCAAGATGGCCAAGAGACCACGTCACACTGGACCACGCCAACCGTTGGTGCATATCCTCGCTAAATATGATCGGCTATTTGAGAGATTCCTGGCTAAGATGGACCAGCAAGCGACACCGTAACTGCATCCATCTTACCTGCCAGTTGGGGATCGTCAGTGCCGAAGTCGACATCATGGGGATTCCATGCTGGCCAACTCAACCAGTTCCCCGTCCCTTATCTACAAATGTGCCTTCCTAGGCTGGGAGCCATCAAGCCTGAAACTAGCATGTTAAGTTTCCATGGCTTCATTGCGACTGTGCTGGACCTCTGAGTGGCATTTACACGCCTTCTCTAGCTTTACCCAACAAGGTCATAGGTTGACTGACCATTCATGCTGGAGCTCTGTGTGAGTGTTTTGCCATTGCTGGGTATAAAGGCCTAGGTAGCTGGCTTAGTGTATTGAAAAGAGCATATATTAAACAGCAAAGTTGCTTTGCACATTCAAAAATAAGGAGGGTGCGAGAAGTAACTTAACATGGGAACTATTCACCAGTTTACGGAGCCAGTGTGAAGGATTAGAGAAACATTATAGGGAACACTTGAAACTCTTGCAAAATCCAACAGGCATAAATATAGGGGAAACACATTTAGCTGCAGCCATATCAAGTAGGTAGGGCAGTAGTCTTCAGTATTAAAGTACTGATGCAGGACATTAAGTCCATGTTCCAAAGCGGAAAAGGCACCGGTGCGGGAGGACGTTGCCATGCTCACCAACCGTGTGGCAGTGGTAGAGAAAGTCATGGGGGCACCAGACTAGTGCAAACTGCTACTGACGCTGCACTGAGCTCCCTGCGAAAACAGTGTGCCGACCAGCAAGCATAACTCCTTGAGACAATCTCTGGCACTGAACTGCCCCATTACTGCAGAAGGCTCATAGCCACTTTATTGACACCACGGCAAGCCAAGCAGGTGATGATTGACTTATGCTTCAGACTCACCAGGGCAACCACAGCGCACCGAGACTAGCGTGTGACATATGTGCGGGACTCTGACTGGGGAATACTAATGGGGGCCCTTTGAAGGGGCACAGTTGGCATTTTATAGAGACACAAAGGGAGTAATTTCTGCCACAGTCCAAGATGGATGAGCTGTCTCCTGTGCCGTCAGCACTGGTAGGCCAAGTGACTGAAGGAAAGCTGGTATCTCAGAGGCGTGATAGTTGGTATGTCTTGCCAGCCTTGTCTGCCTGCAGCCGGTGTGGGTCCTACTTGTAGGGGATGGCTTACTCACGGAGTAGCTGAGTGACCTGCCAGAATGACTTCCTCCACATTAGGGTGTGTCTTGAGAAGTCTCTATAAAATGCCAACTGTGCCCCTTCAAAGGGCCCCCATTAGTATTCTCCAGTCAGAGTCCCGCACATATGTCACACGCTAGTCTCGGTGTGCTGTGGTTGCCCTGGTGAGTCTGAAGCATAAGTCAATCATCACCTGCTTGGCTTGCCGTGGTGTCAATAAAGTGGCTATGAGCCTTTTGCAGTAATGGGGCAGTTCAGTGCCAGAGATTGTCTCAAGGAGTTATGCTTGCTGGTCGGCACACTGTTTTCGCAGGGAGCTCAGTGCAGCGTCAGTAGCAGTTTGCACTAGTCTGGTGCCCCCATGACTTTCTCTACCACTGCCACACGGTTGGTGAGCATAGCAACGTCCTCCCGCACCGGTGCCTTTTCTGCTTTGGAACATGGACTTAATGTCCTGCATCAGTACTTTAATATTGGCCTTGGTGGAAGGAGCAGAGTCTCCCAGGTCTAGAGGCCCCTGGTGGATCGGTCGTGCCCGGTTCTGGGTTATAGGCATGGCATAAGTGCTGTTCTTGTCCGGGGATGGAAAGGTATAGGCCTCGGGCGGCGCCATGTTGGGGATTTTCGGCCGTGCGTAGAAAAGCCCCTATATGTCTGAAACCCAATCAGGGATCTGCGTGCTGTTTTAAAAAATGTTTGCCCATGGTGCAGGGAGCCCAGGAGTCTCTTCCGGAGCCTGGGAGGGCAGTGGATTGCGACTCAGGTCGGGTAAGTCCGGGTTAGCGCTCAGAGCTGCTGCTATATGCGTCCGACTCGCTCGGATGCTGGCTCCTCTCCTCCCACGTTTCTTTATATTTTATGTGTCTGTGCATTGCCTCAGTACTTATATTTTATCCGTTACCTGTGTAGCCTTCGAGTGGTTTACTCACCGGCATTAAGCTCATCTAGTGCTGGTGAGGTAACTCAGTTGGTAAATTCCCTGTATACAAAACCTGTTAAAAAAAAATGCAAGGTCACAGATTCCAATCCTGGCAGAGTCAACTCAGCCCTTCATCATTCGAAGGTCGATAAAATTAGTACTATCAATTGGGTAATAATAACATCTATTACTATTCAGCTGGTTATTTCTGAGAGCGCGCGCTGAAAAGCTCTTTGAGTCCCACTGGGAGTAAGGCACTATATCAATACTAGTTGTTATTATTGTTTTGTTTCGAGTACTACCATTTGAGATTATTCACAGTGCATATATTATATTCTCTTTTGCTTTTAGTTTCTACTGCACTGTTCATACCTCATACAGTGCAACTTATTATAAATACGATTACCTCAGTGTAACACTGGTGGTCTTAGAAGGCTGGTATAGGCCATCATCCTGCTTTCGCACGTGGTGTACTGATTAAAACCAGTTCATTATGTGTAATAACTTTTCACAATTTGCGTATCTTCCAATGACCTATTTTATTTAAAAATGAGATGTTTTCTCTCTGCCAACTCAGATTAAGACAACTGTGGTGTACAATTCTCACTGTTAACTTGATGCATGCTGTGATATTAAGTGTTTGTGACAAGTTTTTATCTCAATAAAAATAGAAATGACAAAAAAAAAAACACAACAGAGCAACACCAGGTCCACTATCAGACGGACAGGCTATCAGCTCTGTTACTGGCGTTTGAGAAAAGGAGGCATAGCTGTTTGTTTATTCTGAATGCTTAGCATAGACCCAGAGAGGAAGTGCCTTTGAGATTAGCAGGGATTCTGATAAGAAGAAGAGACTCGGATAGGAAGTACTTTGGAGCTAAAGGGACACTGATTTCATTGAATTGGTCACATATCTTGGAGTCACCTGGCCCAGGCTCTCCATTAAACCATTTTTGAACAGTTTAATACTGAATGAGGATCCCTGGCCGCACTTAGCCTGTCCCCCACTAGAAGCATGGCTAAGGCAGATATTACACTACCATAACTAATCATACTAGAAATGTCATAGGCTGTACGCAGTTAGCTGAAACTTTAAATCAATCACTGCTGCCCATTGCTCTTCAGGCCATTACACCAAAATTGCACCAGGAGACTCCAGACACTATACCTACTTCAGGAGATGAAGCGGTTACGGTGTCTCTTAAGTCACTTCCTAAGAAACCATCTGAATGGTCCTGGAGCCCTCATGTCAAGCGCATCTATTTATGGTTTTATTAAAAACAGACAGGATTGTACTAAATGAAGCCCGATTTGCTGTTAGTAAATATGAGAACTGGAAATCTGGTTGAAATGTGGTTATTTCAACTGGCTTACTATTGGTCCATAGCGAATAACCGTTAAAAATGTAGTAATGAACAGAGGACAGGAAAAACAGGATGAATGCTGAGATACGTTGTAAAAGTGCAAAATTTTGTTTTTCCAACCAAACACTGACTTGTAGTGAATTGGAAACGGATTTGCTAATTTTAGGCGAAAATGATTGATAATGAAAAATTCTCAAACTCAACATAAAATTTGCTGGCTGCTTTTTCAATTTACTTCTACTTGTTGTTTAGTGAATAGACCCTCATGTATGTGATGTACAAGGCAGTAAAACTTGAAATCTGGGAAAATAAAGCCACACGAGAGTTTTGTACACTTACAAATATTGACGGACATATATTCACAAGGGCATTTGGCCTATTTAAACTCAATATAAATTTGTCGTTAATTGTAACTATGGTGATATTATACTGTCACTTCATAACATTTACACCTAAAATCTTGGTTTCATTTCAGGACAAGTTCTCAGTTCACACTCCCCCATCAAGACTTTGAACGGAATTATGTGAATTTACATACAGGAAAATTCCCACAGCCAGCAGCAAACCGGACCAACAGGATTTGCCTTAGATCGAGGGCTGTATGAGCTGACTATTTGACGCATGGCTTGAATGGAGCCATTTTAAAATTTGTTGTTCATCTTGTGGTTACAGATCTATTTTTGTGGTTTTATTTTTTTAACTGGGGCTGAAAGGCTAAACGTTTGGCATTAACTTCTCTCCAGACTGTAAATGATACGCGGCCAAGTTACCAGCTATATTAAAGTGTATTTTCTCACTAGCTAACAGAATAGATATCTACATTTCGGTACAAAACAAGCACACTTAATTATTTATCCTGGCGGAAGGCCTAGTAACGCAGGTGCTGTTGACACTAGTTATTATTTTTTTAAATGTACACATTTTGAGACAGATATATGGATTGTTTGTCATTAAAGAAAAAAATAAACCTGTGGATAATGTGACAATTTGACCACGCTTCGTTTGTGATTTGGTTTCATTATTTAACCATCAGGTTTTTAATTGATTTTGGATCCCCATCTGTTGAACCTTTCCATTCTCTTCCCTCTAGGACCATCTGTGATGTATTAAACATATCCACCTATTGTGAGAACATAGTAGCTTTATTGATATTTAACTTCTTCCCCTTCCCACCAATCTTTATTACCCGTAGTTTAAACATTTTTCATCCAGAGTTCTTTTTTAACCCTTCATTCTCTCTTTGTCCTTGATAGAACTTTATCTCACTCATATTCTCCACCTGTTCCTTCTTCTCTCCTTGTCTCCTCGGACTCCAGTTTTATCCTAATCTTCTCCATTTGCATTTGATCTCCTCCACATGTACTCCATGTACTCCATCCTCTGCCTTTCTTCCACTTATATGTCCACCGCACTCTTTTTCTCTCTATTTAAACCTGCATTCTCTACCTGGAGCTCCGTCCAGGCAGAGGGTCCTTTAGTGACAGGAAGGGAGGCAGTGCTTTCCTTGTTTGCTATAGGGGGAGTACTTGGATCTCAAGTACATATGTAAAAAATGTTGTGTTAGCCGTTTCTGTGATTTACAAATTCCTCCCATTAGAGAGAAAACTCTGCCCACCATTTTATTCTCTGTCAGTGTTCACATTATGAGAGAGGGGGTTTATAGCAAGTCCTAAATAAAGGCTCTATAGAGAAAGTTTGGGATGTTGGAAAGATTAAACAGAGCAATATTTTAGATTGGGTCTACAGGAGGAATTACTGGGAGAGATTATATGGAGTAACAGGAGGAGTTACAGGGAGGGGTTATATGGAGTAATAGGAGGAGTTATAGAGAGAGGTTATATGGAGTAATAGGAGGAGTTATAGGGAGAGATTATATAGAGTAATAGGAAGAGTTATTGGAGAGATTATATGGAGTAATAGGAAGAGTTTTATAGAGAAGTTATATGGAGTAATAGGTGGTGTTATAGGGAGAGGTTGTATATAGTGTTATAGGTGGAGTTATAAAGAGAGGTTATATGGAGTAACAGTAGGAGTTATTGGGAGAAGTTATATATAGTGTTATAGGAGGCGTTATAAAGAGGTTATATGGAGTAATAGGAGGAGTTATAGGGAGAGGTTATATATAGTGTTATAGGAGGAGTTATTGGGAGAGGATATATAGGAAGAGTTATTGGGAGATATTACATAGTGTAATAGGAGGAGTTATTGGGAGAGATTACATAGTGTAATAGGAGGAGTTATTGGGAGAGATTACATAGTGTAATAGGAGGAGTTATTGGGAGAGGATATATATAGTGTTATAGGAAGAGTTATTGGGAGAGATTACATAGTGTAATAGGAGGAGTTATTGGGAGAGGATATATATAGTGTTATAGGAAGAGTTATTGGGAGATATTACATAGTGTAATAGGAGGGGTTATATAGAAAGGTTATATGGCGTAATAGGAAGAGTTATAGGGAGAGGTTATATGGAGTAATAGGAGGAGTTATAGAGAGGTTATATGGAGTAATAGGAGAAGTTATAAGGAGAGTTTACATAGTGTAATAGGAGGAGTTATTGGGAGAGATTACATAGTGTAATAGGAGGAATTATTGGAGAGATATGGAGTAATAGGAAGAGTTTTATAGAGAAGTTATATGGAGTTATAGGTGGAGTTATAGGGATAGGTTATATTGGGTATTAGGAGGAGTTATAAAGAGAGGTTATATATAGTGTTATAGGTGGAGTTATAAAGAGAGGTTATTTGGAGTAATAGTAGGAGTTATTGGGAGAAGTTATATATAGTGTTATAGGAGGAGTTATATAGAGAGTTTATATGGAGTAATAGGAGGAGTAATAGGGAGAGATTACATAGTGTAATAGGAGGAGTTATTGGGAGAGGTTACTTAGTGTAATAGGAGGAGTTATTGGGAGAGATTACATAGTGTAATAGGAGGGGTTATTGGGAGAGATTACATAGTGTAATAGGAGGAGTTATTGGGAGAGATTACATAGTGTAATAGGAGGAGTTATTGGGAGAGATTACATAATGTAATAGGAGGAGTTATTGGGAGAGGTTACATAGTGTAATAGGAGAAGTTATTGGGAGAGGTTACATAGTGTAATAGGAGGAGTTATTGGGAGAGATTACATAGTGTAATAGGAGGGGTTATTGGGAGAGGTTACATAGTGTAATAGGAGGAGTTATTGGGAGAGATTACATTGTGTAATAGGAGGAGTTATTGAGAGAGGTTACATAGTGTAATAGGCAGTGGCGTACTAAGGGGGGGGCGGGGGGTGCGGTCCGCCCCGGGTGCCAGCCGGGTGGGGGGTGCCATGACCAGCCCCGCCGCCTCACCATGCTGCAGCCGCCTCGAGCGCTCTGTAGAGAGCCTCGGGCGGCTGCAGAGCTTTGCCCGGGCGGTGCGTCCATGAGGGCGGACCGCACCGCCCGGGCGCAGCCTGAGGAGAGGGGCTGACACTCCTGTCAGCTCCCTCACTGCAGCATGGTCCGCGGGTACAGAGAGCAGCTGTCTCCTGTACCCGGCCGGACTAACAGGAAGTGCACACTGAGTGTGCACTTCCTGTTAGTCCGGCCGGGTACAGGAAACAAAAGCTCCCTGTACCCGCGGACTATACAGGGCTCGGCCACGCTACAGGGAGGTAGGGGGGAGGGGGAGAAAGAAGGAGAAAGAAAGGGGGGGTGAGAAAGAGAAATAAGGGGTGAGAAAGAGAAATAGGGGTGGAGAAAAGAAATAAGGGGAGAGAGGGGTGAGAAAGAAATAAGGTGAGAGAGAGATAGCAAGGAGAGAGAAATAAGGGGTGAGAAAGAGAAAAGGGGGTGAGGAAAGAGAAATAAGGGGTGAGAGAGGGGTGAGAAAGAGAAAATAAGGGTGAGAAAGAGAAATAAGGGGGTGAGAAAGAGAAATAAGGAGGAAAGAGAAATGGCAAGGGAGAGAAAGAGAAATAAGGGGGGGTGAGAGAGGGGTGAGAAAGAGAAATAAGGGGGGGTGAGAAAGAGAAATAAGGGGGGGGTGAGAAAGAGAAATAAGGTGGGTGAGAGAGAAAGGAGGGTGGTGAGAGAAAATAGGAGCGGGGGTGAGAGAAATTAGGAGGGGGGTGAGAAAGAGAAATTGGGAGGAGGAGAAGGAAATTGGAGCGGGAGGAGAGATTGACAATCACATACACACAATGCACCCCTTGCACACAGAAAAACACACAGACACACATACACAAGCAATGCAACCGTTACACACAATGCATCCCTTACACACAAAGAAACACACAATGCATTCATTACACACACTTAATGCACCCCTTACACACATTCAATGCATCCCATACATACACAGAAACACACCTTGCAGTCCTTACACATACAAACACAATTTCACACAATGCATTCCTTACACACATATCAGGACATCCCCTACACACTCCACCCCTGTGAACAAACTCATTGGTGGAACATGAAGGTGGACCCTGGGACCCAGACCTTGAGCTGTGTAAAGGACCCCAAAAAATGGAGCTGCTTCCCGTTCTCCCAGAACATTGATTTTTGTGACCACAGTTACAAACCGCCTCCAGAGAGCCTGTTCTGCACCAGACCAGTGGAGCCAGACTGCAGCTAGAGTCCATCATCATCCTCATCTGGTTGTAAGTAGGCAATCTAGTATATTATTCGTGGCACTAATCTATAATTTACCTCACATTAAAGAAACACTATAGTCCCCAGAACCACTTCAGCTTAATGTAGTGGTTCTGATGTCTATAGCCTGTCCCTGCAGGCCTTTTAATGTAAACACGGCGGCACTGCAGCACTGGCGTTAGTTAACATGGCAAATCATATGGCTGGGGCATTGTGATGTCACATGGGGTGTGGCAAACTTTACTTTTGCCTAGGGCGGCAAAAATCCTTGTACCGGCCCTGGCTGGAGGGGGCTGTGTGAGCTGTGGCCGCACAGTGTCCCATGGTAGTTAGGAGGAAATGTGTATGTGTGACTCTGCCTGTGACTGTGTGTGACTGTCTGCCTGTAACTGAGTGTGTGACTGTCTGTCTGTAACTGAGTGTGTGACTGTCTGCCTGTAAATGTGTGTGTGGGGCTGAAGGGATTTTGTAGAAGGGGGTGGGGGTTTTGTATTGGGACAGGAGTCTTTATAAGGGGGGATAAGCAGGGGATTTGTGGAAGGGGGTTGCTGGGGTTTTGTAGATGGGGCAGTACAGGATTTGTAGAAGGGGCAGGACAGAGGTTTTGTAGGAGGGGCAGGGCAGGACAAGGGTTTTGTAGGAGGGGCTGACAACGGTTTTGCAAAGTTTACAAATTGTAAAAATAAAAGAAATAAAACCTTTAACATTTTTTACAGGTTTTTTTTATTTTTTTGGGGGGGGAGGGGGGTGGGGGGGGGTGCCAAGCACAGGATCCGCCCCGGGTGCCAAATGCTCTAGGTACGCCCCTGGTAATAGGAGGAGTTATTTGGAGAGTTTATATTGAGTAATAGGAGGAGTAATAGGGAGAGATTACATAGTGTAATAGGAGGAGTTATTGGGAGAGATTACATAGTGTAATAGGAGGATTGTCCCTTTAATGTAATGGTTTGGGTGGTACGGGCCTCTTCCTGCATACTATACTCTGTAAATACTGCCACGCTCAATGCAGCACCAGGACTTTCCATTTGGTACACCTATCCAACATTTTGAGGAAGAGAAAGTGTATTATTAAACATACTTTTGGCCGCACAAGGGCAGGGCATTTCTGTCTAGGCAAGTGTTTTCGGTGCACGTGCATTCCCTGGCACGCTGGTTGGCAGAGCTTTGTGCTCCATCCCTGGCACACGGCACCACCCCTCCCTTCCATCCCTGATTTCATATTTCCCATTTTGGGAGGCATCCAAGAGAGAGGAAATACAAAAATCACAAAGTTAAAACCACAGTGGTAAAAATCTTTATTTTTAATACAGGAAATTCGATACTGATTGACTTAAATCCAGGTCCCCATTTAGTTATACGTGTTTGGAAACTGCCCAGTGGCATTGGCTACCCAGAAAGCCTACTCCAGGGGGAAAGGTGTGAATAGGACATTTACAAACCTCTCCCAGGGCTCTATCCACAAAGATGCATTCTTTTCAGTTTACTGAAAGTGGATTGGGAAAAAAACTAAACAAACAAACAAAGTACTTTCATGCCGGATCAAAATGGGGGACTAAAGGAACACTATAGTGCTAGGAATACAAAATTGTCCTTGTGCGTCTGGGCTTCGTCCCACGTCCCTTCCATGAAAGGGTTAAATAAGCTTTTAAACATTTCCCTGATTCTAGCTCCCACATTACTCTGTGCTGGGACGGTTCCTCTTCCTCCAACATCCGCTGATCGGGAAATTAATGCGCATAAGCGGCGACCGCCTTGTGTGCGCATTAAGCTTTCCCCATAGGAAAGCATGGACTCAATGCTTTTCGATAGGGATCTAGAACACGCGTGAAGAAGTCCAGCGTCCGGAGAGACAGACTCCAGAATTAGTCTTAAGCTGGAAATATAAACATTGCTGCTTCTCTGAAACTGCTAAGTTTTACATTGCAGGACTAAGGGGAGAGGTTCAAAGCACCCAGACCACTTCAATGAGATGAAGTGGTCTGGGTGCCTATAGTGCCCCTTTAAATACAGTTTTAAAAGACAAACTGACAATGAGGGCTCTCTCGATGCTGATTGGCTGCTACATAATACATAAAATATGTTCAACGACAGTTCGAGTTTTGGTGATTTTGTTCTTACACAGACATTTCTATCTTTAACCTGGATGGAATTTTCACAAAATACCGAATACAAATTGTAATCCAGATTGAAAAATTCTGAATAAATTAGCAAAGCTACAAACTGAGGCGGAGAACTATCGATGCCTTAAATCCACAATTTACTTTTGAATTTAGCACAAACTCCCTAGTTTTCTGGGTCATTTTACAGCCAGCATTTAACATACTGCTTGCGCGTAGGGAACGCATGCAACAAAAATAGATTCTGCAGACCAAACTCCACAGTGATTGAAGATGTGATTATATTGTTTGTCAAAGTGGAACTGTCACATGTCAAATTTGTGCACAATTATTGCTTGCAGGGACTCTATAGGCTCCCAGACCACTTAATCTCAATAAAGTGGTCAGGATGCCCCCCCTCCCCCACCACATTTGTAATCCAAACGCTATATTGTTCGTTTAAATAGTATGCTTGGGCATAACCAGGGCATAACATGTAAAGTCATGGGAAACCCTGGGTTAATAGATTGTGGAGTTTCTCCTGTTAATAAGAATGGCTGTTGGAAAAGACTTCCAAGCACACACTGCAACTTTTGGCTATAGAACATTGTGGTCTTCTTGGGATCCTCCATAGACCTCAGAGTTCTACTCCAGCATACGCAAGTGTACAGCAATAATGCAACTGAAGGATAATAGATGACAATACTCACGGAGACAGCCTAAGCAGGAGTCCATTTAGCTCCATCCCTTGGGTGTTGCAAAATATGAACCCACTCCCTTCCCCCAAAGGATAACAGTCTTCAAATTATTACTTCCCGGTTTTTATAACTATTATTTTATTTAATTTAAGTTATTTATATATATATATATATATATATATATATATATATTTATATTATTATTTTTTTAGAAATATCACTTTTTTTATTTGCCATATTGGGTGTGACTCTACAGTTATCTGAACAACTGCTGCTCAACCTAACTTGCCTGCTGCTGCATATTCACACTGAGCAATCACAGCAGCAGATCTAATGAAAAGATAAATATAATCAAAATTAGCTTTGGAGAGACATTTGTCCTTTAAAGTGACACTCCACTGCCGAAATACAAAATAAATAAAAATCACCTGTTAGTACATACATCCCAAATGAAAACCTGGATGCATTTAATTATGTATTTCTTTCATTGTGAGTATATCTAAAAACAACTTGCAAAACATGCAATTCTCTTCAGAGAGTTCAGAGAAGGGCTACTAAACTGGTTCATGTATTGCAGGATAAAACTTACAAGGAAAGGTTAAAGGATCTTAACATGTATAGCTTGGAGGAAAGACGAGACATGAGGGATATGATAGAAACATTTCAATACATAAAGGGAATCAACACAGTAAAGGAGGAGACTATATTTAAAGGAAGAAAAAATACCACAACAAGAGGACATAGTCTTAAATTAGAGGGACAAAGGTTTAAAAATAATATCCAATAAGGAATCCTTAAAATTCCTTATTAGGCATTATTTTTTTTAGTCCCCCTCCCCCTTTCCAAAAGATAAAAAAATTATTAAGCTCCCCGCGCTGTTTTCCATACTCCCACCAGACTTCATGGGAGCCCGACGCACGGTCCAATCAAATACTACTCTTAAAGAAGCCTTTGATTGGACCATTTAGCTGGCTCAGAGCTGGCATGGGAGAGGGAGCCGGGAGAGAGGGAGTCTGAAATAAACTGAACTGATGGGACAGGCAGGTGGTAAGGTGGCAGGAGGAAGGGGAGACATAAGACTCCCCTTGCAGGCAGGGCAGAATCAGATTACATCTGTCGCTAATGTGCTGTGTGTAGAAGACAGATGTAGAATATGCACAGAATTGACATTTGGCTGCCAAAGTCACATGGGCCAAGGGTGTAACTAGTCCTCGGCACACAAGTGCAAATAAATCTGGTTGTGCAGTGTTTCAAGATTCCTTAATTAATGTGTAATGTATATGGATGTGTTTGTGTGCATGTAAGTATATTATGTCTCTGTGTGTGCATGTGAGTGTGCATTATGTATCTGGGTGTGTTTGTGTGCATGTGAGTGTGTGTTATGTATCTGGGTGTGTCTGTGTGCATGTGAGTGTGTAATGTATCTAGGTCAGTTTGTGTCCATGTAAGTGTCTATTATGTCTCTGTGCATGTGTGTTTGTGTGCATGTGAGTGTGTAATGTGTCTGGGTGTGTTTGTGTGAATGTGAAATGTATCTAAATGTATGTCTGTATGTATCTTTAAGTGTGTTCTTGTATGTGTAATTGTAAATGTGTGTGTGCTTGTGTATATCTGAGGCTTAATATCTCTGTGTGATTGACTGCAGTGCTGTCTATAGCATACCTCCCAACAATCATGAGGGGAGAAACGGGATGGGGTGGTTGGGGCCCTGAGGAGGTGTTGCCAGTAATGCCCATAAAAAGAAGGCCCACTCAGAAAAATTGTGTGCCCACCCACTGACAGTTTGTCTGGCCTGCCCTCAGCCTTCAGGCCCACGCAGGGAGCACTGCTGAAGCACTCCCTGTATAGTCCTAGTGCCCAGGACCAGATTAAGAACCCATTGGGCCTGGTGCCGACAATTATTACTAATTACAGAGTCCTACTGACAGTAAACACTAAAACAGTCATACTTCCCAAGCGTTATGTATTTGGTGGTGGTGGTGCCGGAGTGAAACTCACAGGATGTAGCTATACGAAAACACATACCCTATGCTAATCTCTTGCTTTCATTTTTCAAACAGACCCATATCCCCCAACATTCATCATCTTGGGAAGTGGGATGTCGACAGGCAGAGTAAAAGGGGGTAGACCAGTGACAAGAATCACGTCATTGGCACGGCCTAAAGGAGCAGGTCACTTGAAGCAGGTCTGTCCAAAGAGTTTGAAGGTTAGCCTGGCGTGAATGCATGACAGACTGCCTGCTAGTATCTCAGCCAGGCCAACTAAGGGTGGCGTAGACAGACAAGATGGTTTCAGCACCCTGAGCTTGGCGCTAATGCATCGCTCTACACTTTCTGGGGACAGTTCCCTGGTGTCCCTTCTTCATTCACTTGTCCACTCCTCTCCTTTTCTTACTAGCAGGCAGAAGCTCCTGGTATGCAGTCTGGGACAGACAAAAAGGTGGATGTAGTGAGTGTAGAAGAAAGGGGACAAGCCACAGTGTTAGAGAGACAAAAGCAGCAAGAGCATTTGCACAGTTTGCAAAATCAGGTTTACCTTAACTAATTTAGGGTCAGCCAGTCCACACAAGTTGTTTTCCCTCCCAAGTTTACATACTTTATTCCCTCTGCACGAAGCAAGGGCCTATGAAAAGTAGTAGAAATAAAATTAAAATAAATAATATATCTATTTTTTTTTTGTTTATATCAATGGACCTATTCCATTGGCATAGACCTGGAGCTTCAGCTCCACTTGCCCCTATGTTAATCTAGCCCCGCTAGTGCCTGCTAAGACCATCTAATGATGTACTCGTGCTTTGCTGCCTGGGGACTCTTCCCTGGTGTCCACACATGCATGGCATCAGGTAACTAAACCTGGTTGGGGGCACAGGACCTTAAAATAAAGGACTATCCCGCCAAAACCCAGACTGTTTTGAGGCATGGCCTATAGGGGTGTACTTGTGTGATTTAATGAGCTGTGAAAGAAAATCTAAAATAAAAAGATGCATGCGCACATATGCATTAAACCAGATGAGCTACATTAACCACCCTGTGTGTCAAATAACCCTCAATGCCTCTCCACACTATAATCCAAACTAAAAAGATAACTATAAACTATCATAACTAAACAAAAAAGAACCCACTACATTGATTAAAAAAAATCATTATTGCTACATTACATTCATTTAATCTTCAGAAACCTATTCTTCCATCTACTCTTTTTTTAAAAATTGAAATTTTCAGCCTCTCTTTCTCCTAAATGGCAGAGGATTGAGCAGTGAGGCTGCAGGGACATGTTCTATACACCAAAACTGTTTCATTAAGCTAAAGTTGTTCACGTGACTATAGTGTCCCTTTAAGTTCCCTGATCCCTTTTTCTTTTTTTTTTGACAGTGAATGAGATTCTTCGCCGAGTGAGTTTTGTTTTCTGGTATTTGTGTTTCCATTTCTCAATGTTCTCTGGTTTTATACTGGCTTCATTCCCTACCATGAGAATCCTCTATGTCAACTCTCAGGGTTTCAGTTCCCTAATTCCTTATCAGCTCTAACTTCCCACTTCTCAATTCACATTCTCACAGTTCCTACTAAATGTCAGTATCCTTTTCATATCCGCCACCTCTGTCCTTTTCTGACGACAGACCAAAGTGACACCTCGGTGGCCTCCGAGTTCCACAGATGCCATTTGTGACATACTGTAGCTTCCTGATCGCTGCCTTAAAGGACCACTATAGTGCCAGGAAAACATACTCGTTTTCCTGGCACTATAGTGCCCTGCACCTCAGGGTCCCCCTCCCGCCCGGCTCTGGGGAGAGGAAAGAGTTAAAACTTACCTTTTTTCCAGCGCCGGGCGGGGAGCTCTCCGCCTCCGATCCTCCTCCTCGCCTCCCTTTCGGCTGAATGCGCACGCGCGGCAGGAGCTGCGCGCGCATTCAGCCGGTCTCATAGAAAAGCATTTACAATGCCTTCCTATGGACGCTTGCGTGCTCTCACTCTGATTTTCAATGAGACAGCCACTAGAGGCTTTGGGGGAAGGATTAACCCATTTATAAACATAGTTTCTCTGAAACTGCTATGTTTATAAAAAAAAGGGTTAATCCTAGAGGAACCTGGCACCCAGACCACTTCATCAAACTGAAGTGGTCTGGATGCCTAGAGTGGTCCTTTAAGCCATAATTTTGCTTTCTATCAAGGCATAATCAACTACAGAAAACTTGCATTCTGACAAATGCAAAATCATGTTCAATGTACTGTTAAAATTGATAAAATGTTATTGCGGTAAAGTCACTTGCCTGCTCAAAACTTTAACGAACAGTGGGAAAAAAAGTAAATGTTAAAGATCAGCCAATCAGCACCAGAAGACTAATTAATAATGTTAAAAAAAGGGTATATTCACAGCATTGAGATACTAGCAGGCAAACAGTAAAAATAAACTTAAAACACCTAAAAAAATAAATAAGTTATCAAGGGTACCCAGGATCCTCCTTAGAAAGGTAAAAAGGAGGTGACCTGGGAAACAACATGCGAGGGCCTTCAAAATTCCCTAAATCCAAGGCATGGCTTTATTTGGTGAGATGAAAGTCCCTCTTCCATTTTTCTACATCTCAACAGTGGTAGGTATTTGATTCATAATATCGAGTGGTAGGCTACACAGTTTCCCCTATTCCTTCCTCATTCCGTGGTTTCTTAGGGTGGACATGGGGTTTACCAGACCACCTATTAACAGATGAGGAGCATACTCAGTGGCACTATAATTGCCATTATTCAGTAAAGTAATAGTATGGAGTTCCAGAAAAATTAGATAACTAAGGGGTCTGACCATCAAGCTGGTGCCTGGTTTAGGAAGGTTATGGGCATTGCAACTATTAGTCGGAAAGAAGACTTTTTAACGGATCGGGTTTGGTGACCCATAAGTCAAGGCCTTCACCTTTACACAAAGAAGATGTGGCAGTAATTGGACAGCTGCAGAGGCTACATCTGCTCCATACTATAAACTAACAGTTGCAGAAGGTTAATAGTGGTTTCCAGTGGAACCCTATTAATATTATTAACACCAATTACTAGTTACAGGAAGGTGAAGAAGTGGGGGGAACCTGCGTGGCATGAGGGACATGTATAGTGATAATAATTTGTTGGGTCTTCCTTTGTCATAATGAATGCTCATAGACCGACCTGCTTCTTCTCCTACAGTTATGCAGGTGGGGGAATACACATTTGTATCCATCTGAAATTTAATTGCAATTTTACTGTTAAAGTTAGAATGTAACTTGAAATCTCCAGCTTGCACAATGGACCTGCTTCTACCTACACCTGACTCTAACCAAGCCAGGCAAAGTGAGTTAGTTGCTACAGCTCACTTTGCAACCAACTTGAATTTGCCACTTTGAGATTTTTCTCCAATACAGCTATTTGCCACGGCAAGCTGTGCATGCCACTAGAACTTGGCCTTTCGTGGATACATCACATAAATACATTTCCCATAACTTCACAGATATTTTCACATGAGTGAATATTATTAATAACTTGCGTCTTTAAAATCAAGCCATGTTCACACTTTTCTGAATGATCAGATTCTGGTCTTGTGCTTATGCTTTGGTATAATAATGAAAATGTAAACAAACTTTGTCGAAACATGTTCGACAACTTCTAGACTGTATAATAGCAAGGAGATCGGGGCGATTACTATTAAACACTGTTGTATTTGTGCAACGAGTTGTGCACCCCATCTTTCTCAAAAGTGCCCAACTCCCTTCCCCTGGGATTCGCAATTTATTCTTGAAATTCTGTAGATGCCACCATTTACCACCCAAAAAAAAGCAAAAAACATGTCTTTTTGATAGCCCGAGTCATTCCATGAGGACTTGCTCACTCTCAGGACTATTCAGGCTTCCATTTATTTCCTTATCCTTGTTCTCTTTTTCTGTCCCTTCCTCCACCTTCTCATCCAGCTGGCTTGGAATTGACCAGTAGAGATGGGCATCCATTCGTGCAGCAGCTTCGGCCATCTCTCGGGCACTGCATGTTGGGGTAGGAACCTCAAATGTTTGGTGAAAAGTGTTGTAATCCACCTCGTAGAATCCATCTTCAAGGCTAAGCACAGACATGAACCGATGTCCCCAAAGCACCTCATCCACAAGGTATGAGCTCCTTGCCTGGCACGTCATACCTGCAAAAGAATTTTGAGATTACACAATGTTCATTTTAGCCATGTACCTGGCTGTACTATGTTGCCTCCTGTAAGCACCAAAACAACTGTAGCCTAATTAAGCTCTTTTAGTGTATATATCATGTCCCTGCAGTCTCATTGCTCAGTTCTCTACCATGTAGGAGTTAAATCACTTGTGTGTCTGTTTATGCAACCCTTGCCACACATTTTTCATGAAAGACTGTTTCGTTTTCAATCAGATCTTACAGCACAGTGTGTTTACTTTAGACGTTATCTTCTCTTCTGTTGATTGAACTTTAAAGGGACATTCCACTGCAAAGACCTGGATCTAAACTTAAATTAAGATTCACATTTAAACCATACATCTTCTGTGGATTTCACAATAAAACTAAGCTCAATAAAGTGAAAAGTATAGAGTTAGGTCAAGTTTTAAGAGGACGTTTTCTGACTTTCGTGACATTACTGGCCGTGACATTTGGATTGTGATCGATTTGATAAATGGTTGTGCAACACCAGAAAGTCAGAAAACATTATTGATTGGTTACCAATGTCAGATTATAATGTAGGCCAGAGTAATATAATATAAGGTAATATAATGTATGGTGAAAGGATATAAAAAATGGGAGAACTGTATCAAACTGCAGAGGCAATTGAAGAAAACATTTCTGAAAATTGCTTATTTTTAAATTGGGACAGATAATATTTGCAATTACCCAATCCTAACCTTTATGCTGTGTCCTATATATTTTATCTTAATTTATATTATACTTCCAGAGTTTGATGTTTTTCTTATCTTCTATTTATGTATCTTACTGTAATTTTTGATTAAAGGCTAACCTTGTATATCATGTTATGGTCGCTAAAGCTTGCAACTACTCAGTAAAAAAACGTATATACTATAAAAAAAAGGAACTAGATAAAGATGGTTTCTTTAAATGTGGGGAGTGCCAACAAAAAGATTGTAATAAAGAGAAATAGAACGACTAAGTCATCGTCAGAGGAAGTCACATGATTGGGGCAAAACGGGTGAAATGTGAAGAAATAAGATGGAGAAGGAGGTGATCTGAAATCTTTTTGGTTAATTGTATTTTGTGGGTTACTCTTGTAGCAGATACAAATGGATTCTAAGTGAGTGTTTTTAACGCTGTTAGAATATATATTTTTGAATGGTATAATGATATTGGGCCTCCTTTGGTCCTATTATATATAGTAAACAAAGTGTATGGAAGGATCCTGTTAACAAGTGGAGAAATCCCCTATCTCATGAATGCTTTTTAACCCAGAACAAGTGGCTCTTTGTATATATGGGTGATAGCAATAAGGGTAAAAGAAGCAACATTTGTTTAAAGTTATTTTCACCGTTGTGTATTATTATATTAATAGTATAAGTCTATGTGTGTGAATATTATTATTTAAAGGGACACTATAGTCACCAGAACCACTACAGCTTAATGTAGTTGTTCTCGTGTCTATAGCCCGTTCCTATAGTGTTCGGATAAAAGGCAGTGTTTACATTGGTTCCCTAGTAACACCTGTAGTGACACTCACTCAGACGATGCTTCCTAGTCCAATGCTGCACAGTATGCAGCACTGGCGTTCAGCGTCTTTGCGCTCTGCATGGAGGCGCTGAACACTCCCCAAATGGATACATTGATTCATTGCATCTCTACGAGGAGATGCTGATTGGCACAGTGTTTTGCAGCTCATGTGCAATAACCTCCAAATGTTTTCCAATGGTATAGCACTGGATTGGATGAGATCGTCAAAAGTGATCATCTCAGTCATGGAGATACATTTTAAACGTTTATTTTTCCTTGGAGAAGGGGGCTGGGAACCTAAACTGCGATTTCTGCACAGGTTTGTATAACTCACACTACAGCGGTGATGGTGAACATTTTTGAGCCCGAGTGCCCAAACTGCAATACAAACCAACGTTTTTATCCTCAAAGTGCTAACACAGCAATTAAACATGAATACTGAAGTTTAAGTTTCGAAAAAACAACTCATACAGTTGTCTGAATTAACAACAGAGAGTTCAATGACACAAACTGTTTTTATTGAAAAAATCAAATTCTAGTAAATGAAAACACACTGGTGTTCGGTGGTGCTTCACCTAACCAAGGACCTATTGCCACCTATCCATCTGCAGTTTGCACGCATTTTACATGCTGCTTTGGCACAAATTACATCAGAATTACATCCGTCTTACATCCGGTTTTGGTGCAGCTTTGTACGTATGTCAATGAACATGTATTTTTCATCAGGTTTCTGTCCGTCCAGCTGCACTAAGACTGCATGTAAACTGTGCCAAAGATGCGTACAAGGAGATACTCAACTTGTAATATGATTACATACCAGACTGAAATTGAATGAGGAACATCTCCTTCACCTGCTCCTCCTCTCCGCCAGCATCTCCTCCTCCTTCTCCTCTCCCTGTTTTCCCCCAGCATCTCCTCCTCTCCCCCAGCATCTGATTCCATTCCGTTGCGTTGCTGTGAGGGGGTATGGGCGCGAGGGAGCACTGACTTACCTGCTGTTCCAGCACTGCTCCCTCCGCTGATGCTGCCGGGAAACAGGAAATTATTTCAATCAGGCGGCAGCGCCTTATAGTCGTCATTTCCTGTCTCCTGGCGGCATCAGCGAAAGGGAGCAGTGCTGGAACAGCAGGTAAGTCAGTGCTCCCTTGCAGCCCTCCATCCCACCCACCAATGATACTAAAGCCGAGTAGGTGCCTGCCATTTCGGGCAGGCAGGTGCCTATTCTGCAATGTTGCTGGGGGCCTAAGGCTGCTGACCGACGCCAGCAACAACCCCCCGTCGACCTATATTCACTTTCTTTGCATGTAAGTGGTTTTTTGTTTTTTTTAATAAGTCGATGTGAAGGATTTCCCTGTATTTACCTGTATCCATTCGGTTATTTCCTCTCCCTGCTATTTAAGTGAATTTGAAATATTCGTTTTATTTATGTGTTAGGGAAATTTATTTGTTCTACCGAACGAGACCACCCTGGGTAGCAATCAGAACTTAGAACACCAAGTAACCACACGAAAACCGCAAAGTAACTCAGTGCTCCTAGGTGGCCGCCATTCGGCATTCGAACACGTGGCGACAACAAAGGATGGCGGCCATCTTAAATGTCCCAAACGCGGCCAGTGGGACTTACTCGTGGATTGCCTGGAACTGTTTTTGGCATGGCAATCACACGAACACCCAGTCTTTATGGAAGTCCTGTCTGACCTATTTCCACTCGCAGTATCAGACCGGCGTTCGGGAGTTCCAATCAACCGAACGAGGGGAGCATTCTCATGTAACCAGATGCAGTGCAACTATGGTGGTTTTCTTGCTACCAATTTCATGCAACTCTAAATCGGATACAACCACATGGCGAGCCGGTCAAACCTCTACATGATGCGACACGGAAACTCCTGAACAGATTTTCTTACAATTTGGATATGTTACTCCCAGTATCCCCAGCTACCCAGGGATGTGGTTTTTATATTCATATGTCATGTAGAAAGTATATTTCCAAAAATGTTGAAAATTGTTAATGTTTCTGGCCAGCGAGATAATTGAGTTTAGTATGTTGCTGAAACTCAGTTATCTAGCCTGGCCTAGAGGAGGAGTTTGTTACTGTATATATTGAATGCCTGTTGCTTCCAGTAAATCAGTCTTGTTCCAGCATTAAGCTTTGGCTCATGTGTGAATTATTTGGCGATACCAGTGATATTTATTCCTGTGGATTCTAGGCGATACTCTGCTATTGGGAAAAGGAATACTAGACGGTGATACCAGTTACTAACGTCACAGTCGATTTGCATAACTTGTTTGGGATTCATTGAAAATATTTTTATTTACTGTACCCCTTTGAATCTTAAATGATAACTGTCTTAATATGGGCCTCGATGTAATAAGCTTTACAAATGATTCATTACTGCTAGACTTTCCAAATGAGTTATCTACTGAAGTGACCAGAGAAGTCTATGAACATTTTTGATTTAGAAAGGCTAACATTATGGATTCATTTAAAAAGAGCATTAAATCAAGGCCATTGTTAAAACTATCCCAACAGGGCCAGGGCTGGACTTTTAAGACGTCTTTTTTCAAAGTTCACATTGCCCCTCACTGAGTGTCCAGTCACTCAAACCGTCTACTCCTAATATTGGGTGACAAATTAACAGAATGCGCCAAACACCTAAATAACGTCAGCATGTTGTACTGGGAGCAAATGAACAGCAGGTGGCAGCAGTGTTAACACCACCAATGGAAATACCCATTCAGATCCTGTAGTAGGCACTGGTTGCCAACATCTGGCACCCCAGCTTGTGCACAGCGTTCGTGATGACTCTCAGATAACCATTCAGCATGGAGAGTATCACGTTAACATCTTCATAACAAATAAAAATAATGTTTTGCATTTTATAAGGCTACTTAAAATCATCTTAGCGAACAAATATAGAGATTCAGTTCCACCGTGTGGCCATATTGTGTTAAGCCCTCCACTACTTCACAGTACCCCAATATCGGTGGGTCCAACACTAATTCCAACGTGGAGACATATTAAATAGTGCTAGTGCTAAATAAGCGAAAGTGTATTTTAATAATCTGTTGTAAGAGCATTGTGAAAATATATTAAAAAAAACACAATTGGAATTGGAATGGAATCCCCATATTTGTTCGTTAAGATAGGGGATTTTAATTAGCCTTGTAACATGTAATTTAGGTGTGTGCTGTTCCTGTATCTGTATTTTGCATTTAAATCCTGACTTATTATAAAGATTGTATAAGAATGTCATTAAAGGACCACTATAGTGCCAGGAAAACATACTCGTTTTCCTGGCACTATAGTGCCCTGAGGGTGCCCCCACCCTCAGGGTCCCCCTCCCGCCCGGCTCTGGAAGGGGAAAAGGGGTAAAAACTTACCTTTTTCCAGCGCTGGGCGGGGAGCTCTCCTCCTCCGATCCTCCTCCTCTCCTCCCCGTCGGCTGAATGCACACGCGCGGCAAGAGCTGCGCGCGCATTCAGCCGGTCGCATAGGAAAGCATTATCAATGCTTTCCTATGGACGCTTACGTGCTCTCACTGATTTTCACAGTGAGAATCATGCAAGCACCTCTAGCGGCTGTCAACGAGACAGCCACTAGAGGATTTGGAGGAAGGCTTAACCCATTGATAAACATAGCAGTTTCTCTGAAACTGCTATGTTTATAAAACAATGGGTTAACCCTAGCTGGACCAGGCACCCACACCACTTCATTAAGCTGAAGTGGTCTGGGTGCCTAGAGTGGTTCTTTAACGAGCGAACGGTTTATAATTAAGCAGCAGCGGTAATATTAGGATTTGTTGGGAGGTTGGGGTAATTTAACATTTAGATTAAAGGATCTTTAGTATTAGGTGGCTAGAGTTGAAGGGCACACTTTGGATGATGGAGTGATGGATGCCTTGGAGTGATGGGAGTTCTGGTCCACCACATCTTAAAGGCAAATACTCCAATCCACAGTCTCCCTAACCCTAGTAACCTCAAAGCTCTGGCATGGTGTAGACTGCTGTACTTGGGCATCTCTATAGTACCTGGTACAGACCTCACCCCATTCTAATGATGCCCATCCTAAATTGCACTACATAGAACGATGTAGCCCTGTTTTTGATACAGCAACATAAGGGTGTTATAGTGACATGTGCTTTTTTAAAGATGAGGTTTGAAAAGTTGACATATTTAAAGTGAATCACTAATACTTAAAGGACCACTATAGTGCCAGGAAAACATACTCGTTTTCATGGCACTATAGTGCCCTGAGGGTGCCCCCACCCTCAGGGTCCCCCTCCCGCCGGGTTCTGGGGAGAGGAAGGGGTTAAACTCACCTCTTTTTCCAGCGCCGGGCGAGGAGCTCTCCTCCCTCTTCTCCTCCTCTTCGGCTGAATGCCGCGCTCGCATTCAGCCAGTCCATAGGAAAGCATTCACAATGCTTTCCTATGGACGCTGGCGTCTTCTCACTGTGATTTTCACAGTGAGAAACGCGGAAGCCCTCTAGCGGCTGTCAATGAGACAGCCACTAGAGGTTGGATTAACCCTAACATAAACATAGCAGTTTCTCTGAAAAAAGGGCTAACCCTAGATGGACCTGGCACCCAGACCACCTCATTAAGCTGAAGTGGTCTGGGTGCCTATAGTGGTCCTTTAAGACCTAAGAGCAAATTCAAATGGTAAAAAATTGATTTTAAAAGTTAAACCCCAACAGTGTAAGTGCAATCTGAGCAATTTGGTTTCCTGCTAAAAATAAATAAAATAACCCCCAAAATGTCACAATTCCGTACATATTTGCACATGGGACAATGGCTGTTAAGTTTCATTAGAAAAACACCAAACCATCCATAAAGCCCCCCTCCTCCCCCCTTTCTCAGAGTCCCAGATATCCCCTAATAAAGGTTAATTAAACTTCCCACTGCTGGCCGTGATATGAATAAAGGGGTACTGCTACCTAGGGAGCTCAGGATCCCATGATTTTTTTGAAAATGCATTTGTATTATATTTTAATAATGTTTAATAATTTATTCAGAAGATAATTTGAGAGGTGATATTTTTTTTCAGGCAATTCCAACGTTGTACTCATTGAAAGCAACTGGATTTTTGCCTCAGAATGGACACCAATCTTAAATATTTTAACAGTGGTTAAATGTTACTTTGCTGCCATCTGCTGTTCATTTAGAGGTACTACGTTGCACTGGTAATAGATTCAGAGCTTTTATTTCTTAAAGGGACACTATAGTCACCAGAACAACTACAGCTTAATGGATTTGTTCTGGTGAGTAGAATCATTACCTTCAGGCTTTTTGCTGTAAACACTGTCTTTTCAGAGAAAATGCAGTGTTTACATTACATCCTAGTGATAACTTCACTGGCCACTCCTCAGATAGCTGTTAGATATCCTTCCTGGGTCATGGCTGCCTAAAATGCATCCAAACATTCAGTATCTCCTCCCTCTGCATGCAGACACTGAACTTTCCTCATAGAGATTCATTGATTCAATTAATCTCTATGAGGAGATGCTGATTGGCCAGGGCTGTGTTTGAATTATGCTGGCTCTGCCCCTGATCTTTCTCCTTGTCAGTCTCAGCCAATCCTATGGGGAAGCATTGTGATTGGATCAGGCTACCACTTCTGATGAGGTCAGCAGACTGTTTGTTTTTTCTGAGGCAAACAGCGTGCAGAGTTACAGCTTCAGGCTTGAATACAGTAAGATTTTGCTACATTTATGGAGGCATGAGGATCCCAAGGGGGCTAGATGGTGGTTTTAACACTATAGGGTCAGGAATACATGTTTGTGTTCCTGACCCTATAGTGATCCTTTAACATTTTCTCTGTTTGTTTTTTTTACAAGCTCACTTATCTTTAGTGAGGAATATTAATCTCAGAGCCTAATTATTTACAATTGTAATTTTAAAATTATTTTTACACACTTTTCATCATTCTCCAAATAAACTGCTGGTTGTGGCGTCTGTTACTTGTGCACTAAAGAATTTATTTTTGTTTAATTTCTTTTTACTGGCTACCTGGGTTATTATTGTTTTCTTTATCTTTTATTCTCACTAGCTGTAGGTGTCCCATTTTTATCAGAACAGTCCTGAGAACAGGGTCTACATGCCCATCAAGACACCGGTCCTGATCAATGGACCAATTTTCTTCTGTTGAACATAAGCAATGTGAGAGAGGAAGTATGGAGGAAGTATACCATCCTTAGTCCCCCTACCTGGCTGATGATACCATGCACTTTACAAAAAGAAGACACCAATTATCCCTAGGCGGGGATTACACCGCCCAAGTATCAAAGTAGAGCTACTCCAGCTCAACCACTTTTAAGTGCATTTCCATTTCTATATATTCACTTGTACGGGATATACTACACTATATTTTGTTGTACTCTTCTTTTTTACATCCAACTACTACTATGAACGTACCTAACTCACAGAATATACCAAGGCGCTACCCCCTCTTTCCATTACACATATCTTCTATTGGAACGGAAAGTAGAGACTTGGTTTGGTTTTTCGAGCTGCCTTTTTGTTTAATTAAATGCACTAGAAACCTAGTATTCAGATAGTTTAAATTGTAGCATGAAGTTGCAACAAAAACAAACAAACAAAAAAAGGGGGGGGGGGGGCGTGATGGGTTCTAAATAGTTTCTGAACACACTGTAGGTGTGAGTAATGCTCCTTGCATGTCAATGACATATCTCACAGCAGTCCCTGACTCGGCCATACATAATTTGAGTCTCCTCTACCATCTGCCCAGGCTTGTACGGAGGACACCACAGACATGCTTCCAAAATAAGAGCAAGTGCACTTAAGGCATGCAGCACATGTGAGTGTGTTCAGAAATGTTGTGCCTATGGACAGCCTTGAATGAGACTTGTAGTGGATTACATTAAGGCTGTCCTCAAAATTCGTGTATTTTAACCCCTTAAGGACACATGACATGTGTGACATGTCATGATTCCCTTTCATTCCAGAAGTTTGGTCCTTAAGGGGTTAATATGTTTTCGTGTATTGCTATTCCATGTATTCACATTGTATGCAGCATTCCGTTTACTATACAAGTGAAACTACCGAACAATCAGACCACCCCAGGGATAAGTGTGCCTCTCATTACCGTTCGATGTCTAAGTCATCTTACACACCTTACTAACTCTACCCTTAGACATGGATATTTTAGCCCGTTGAGATTTATTTATTTCTCTACACAACCAGACATGGGATGCACCGTTATGAAATCATCGCTCTGAAACCTTTGCTCTCTGCAATGTAGTACTGAAAGGGTTAGTATAGTGTGTATAATTAGAACTAAACATTCATTGTCTTGGATATTTATGACTGTATCTGCTGGTGACCTTACTAAGGGTTCCTTTGCTTAGGGCAATATCACTTAATCTCCTGGTCTCTTGGGTAAATGTTCCTAGGCTAGGGGCATTATGAACATGCCTCCTGGTCTTACTGTCTGAGTCCTTTTCTTAATGTAATGTGATTATACCTGCTGGTGTTAAAGCTAGGATTTCTCAGGCTTTTTGCAAAGAGACCATCAGCTAAATTGAACATATTTTATTTTCTTAGAATAGGAGAATTTAATTGTACCTGTAGCTTCCACCATGCCCTCCAAGATTACCACAATCTCAAAATCATCCTTCTCTAGTTGTCGTTTGGATATATCCCAGAATGGACTGTGCTCGTTGATTTCATGGCTAATGATGAGAGGTGACACCAGGAAAAGGCGATCATCTCCAGTCTCAAACCCTACATTTATGTCCGTTTGGTTGAGCGGGATAAACTCTCCCTCCTGTGTTTGTTTGGATTTTATGAGCTTGGCTCTAATGGAGGCTTCTACAATGTGTGAGTTGCGCAAGTCTCCAACTCGGAACATCAGGCAAAGTCGGTCATCCCTTTGAGAGATAATTGCATGCGAGGAGAATACCAATGTCTCTGCCCTTTTGTTGGGTTGGGAAATCTTCACAAACATGCAACCCACCATAAAGGCATTTACCATGGACCCCAGAATAGCCTGGAGAAGGAGCAACACAATTCCCTCTGGACACTTATCTGTGATGACCCGATGGCCGTAACCTATGGTGGTTTCTGTCTCAATGGAAAAGAGGAATGCAGAGACAAAGCCATTAAGGTTGTTGACACAAGGCGTCCATGTTTGGTCTTCTAAGTGATCCAAGTCCCCACGACAGTAAGCAATAAACCACCAGATAACACCAAAAAACAGCCAGGTGATGGCGTATGCAAGACTAAAGACTAAAAGGCTCACTCTCCATTTCAGGTCCACTAGGGTTGTGAAGATGTCAGTCAGATAGCGATATGTCTCTCTGACATTTCCATGCTGGACGTTACATCGACCATCTTTTTCCACGTACCGCTGCCGTCGTCGTAGTTTTTTATCCGCTTTTTCAGCCTTTTCAGCTTTCTTGGTTGCGTTAGCTATGGATTTAGCACTGATGATTGGGGCCCCAGGTACTGAATTGTAGGCCTTATTATCCTTGGTCATGGTAGCCAAATTCCAATATACTGGGTCAGTGTTAAAATCTACAGAAAAATATAAAATTAAATCGGATATGTACTCAACTGCAAAACTTTTTCACCAGCTATAAACATGGAGCTTTTCTTATAGCCTTTTCCTCCTGTGAAATGATAACCTATCTTTTTAAAGAGGTTTGTCTTTAGCCCAATATTGTTATCGTAAATCTGGTCCTATTATTTGAGAGGATGAAGCAGACAGACCTCTTCAAAAAGGCCCTTTGACCTGTTCTGGCTCTTATTGATCCTGCACTTTCCTCAGCTAGAATTTAGGGACAAAGACGTCACGCTTGAACAAAACAATTAACATATACGATCTCTAGGGAACGGTTTACACCATATTGTCTGTTTAGACTAGAACTGGAGCTGTCAACACACGCAGAGTGTTTGTTCATTAACGCCTGCAAAAAAAACCTAATTATTACGTTTTTCTATGGAGATAAGCCCTGCAAGATGCTTGATCTCATGAACGTGCAAGGATATTTCCTTGTCATATATCGGAACAAGAACAAGTCTCCCAGGGCTCATCAGCTATGCTGGTTTAGTGATGTATGTCCAAACAGTCAGCGGAGTATCTACTATACCCTAGAGAAATTCATCTAGAGCGTGGAGTTTATAGTGCGGATCTGTGGCGACAAATACGACGTGGCAGTGCAAGTGTTAAAAAAAATCTGGAATACCATCAACTCCCATTTCAATATTTGATTTTTCTAAATTTAGCACAAAAGTCTGTATGTATATACATATATACGTGTGTGTCATCTCGCTCTACCCATGCACCCCTGCTTCTCCAGTTGCCATGGAAACCACTGTGAGCTATCATGTCGTCTATAAAGACAAGGAAAGTGCTGGTTTTATTGCTGTTTACTGCGTTCTCCATAGTATTATAATCAAGTTCATGGATTATAACATAAAAATTTTTCCCCCCCTTAAATTCCTTATTATATCTAATGTATAGATTGTCCATGCAAAGGCAGGGGTCTACGTACTGAAAAATGTCTATTCTCCATTCATCCCCCCCCCCAGCACATATTACATAACAAGTGGTAACAGTTTTGACACTAGCTCTCTTAATAAACATGAATATTGGGATTTTCTCGTCATGAGTCAAGAGAGGATGTGAGGGTGGAAGAGGACATTCTAAGCAGTTATATTAAATACAAAATAAAAACATTTCTGCTCTTGAGTTCTTGATAAATTGATAAGCTATTACACAGGGATTACATTCACTGTGGGATTAAGCGTGATGATGTGAGTGTCAAGTACAAAAATACACAAAACTAAAAAAAAATAAAAAATGATGAAACACAATTTTGTCATTAACAGAAGCAGCAGATTTACCTCTGACCCATCTCTCTCGCAACACATCCTAAGCCTTAAAATTAGTCACCCAGTCAAAGAATGGAAATAATCTTATATCTCGTTGGCTTTTGTTTGTATGGGGGATGAGTTTAAGGGTTAAGCAGAGGCACAAGAATAAAGCATGAATGGGGAGTTAGGAAGACGGAAAAGAGAATGGATTGTATTTTTTTATTTTTTTGAGAACGTACCTTGTTAGAAGTAAGCAAGCAACTAGCTCCTTCATTTCAGAGTCCAGGGTCACTGCGCCGCTGTCTAAAAATAGACTTCCTGAGCAGGAATCATGGCATTGGAAAAGGTACCCAGCCTGTATCTTTCCAGGAGGAATGTCATGTGTATGTGTGCGGAGGGAGGGAGGGAGATTGGGGGGAGTAGTCACAGCCATTCCTGGGGAAGGTGCCCAGTCTGTATCTTTCAGGAGAGAATCCTTGTGCGTAGGGATGTGTGATGACCAATTAAAGCCTTTGACGGTCACAATGCCCTCTCTTTCGGGAGAGCTGCCCTATGTAGGGGTGTGAGATGCCCCTATCACATCCTTTCCTGGTTAAGGTGCCCAGCCAGCAGATACCCTAAATGGAGGGATGAGAGGTACCCAGTCATTGTTTTTCCAGGTTAAGTTGGACAGCTTGTTTTTTGTCCCCCTGAGAAATGACCTGTGTGGAAGATGTCCTGGTTAAGATGCCCAGGTTTTATCTTCAAGGAGAGATGCCTTGTATGGAGGGAAGTGACATGTCCAGGCACAGCCTTTAATGGATAAGGTGACCAGAGTGTATTTCTCCAGGACAGATGCCCTGTGTGGCCCTTCCTGGATAAGTCTGTATCTTACCGAGTGAGATGCCCTCTATAGAGGAGGGTGAGATGCCCATGCAGTTTGCTGGTCAAGGTGTCCACACTTTATCATTCAGGATAGATGCCAAGTGGGCGGGGGTAAGGTACCCAGTCACAGTCTTTCCTGGATATGGAATCTTTCTAGGAGAGGTGTCCTATGCCCAGTTCCTTGGGCTTCCAGAGCTGTGTACAGGGAGACATTGCAATATGAAATCTCCCAGTGAGCTGTACACACTGTCACGGTTATTAACATAGAAGCATGTGTTAGTGTGTGTGGGTGGGATTGAGAGTGCCAGAGACACACAGAGGGTGTAAGGGACAGGTAAGGGAGGGCACTGCTCTTGCAATCGCTGCTTGTGTACACTTTGAAATTGTGAACGAACCTGTAGGAAAACAACTGCTGGGTTTATGTTTTTTATTTTTAAAGATCAAGCACACTCTGCATGACTGACATCCCCCATGTTTTCATTGTTCACAACAAGCTGTGAGGTCGATTTGTTTTGGATAGACAATGGGCAAGCTTGGAGTGCAATATGTTTTAATCTGCTCAGCATGGCACAACACACTACACAACACAAAGCAGCACACTACACAACACATTACACAACACAGCACAACACAATGCAGCACACTACACAGCAAAACACAATGCAGCACACTACACAACACAACGCAGCACGACACAATGCAACACGACAATGCAGCACACTACACAGCAAAACACAATGCAGCACACTACACAACACAGCACAACACAACATATTACACAACACAGCACAACGCAATGCAGCACACTACACAACAAAACACAATGCAACACGACAATGCAGCACACTACACAACAACACACAACACAATACAGCATACTACAGAACATAGCACAATGCAAAGTAGCACACTATACAGTACAATACAAAGTAGCATGCTACACAACACTGCACAATACAATGCAGCACACTACACTGCACAACACAGCATACTACACAACACAATGATACACAACACACTATAATGCAACACACTACACAACACAGAGCAATTTAGCACACTGCACAACACAAGGCAACAAACTACACAACACAATGCACCATACTACACAGCACAATACTAATGGAAAGAGAGACATTAATAGGCGCTCACTATAGAAATTGATGAAAAGCAGCAGTATACAGAGCAAGGATTCCCAGAACCTTGTGATTGAATAGAAAAAAAGAAGAAAAATGTAAACCGCGCTGTTATAAATATAAATAGTACATACATATAGTAGTAGATACTTCCAATGAGTCAAAAGAACCTCGGAATAAAATAAAGAAAAATAATAGTGCGATACAGTACAAATATATTAAGTGTTGATTTTGACTGTAACTCAATCCACTCACATTCGTATGAGCTATAACAGAGCTCTGCTGTAGTGCGCTTGGATGGTACGATCCCCGCCTCAGGATGTGTTGTTCAGGTTGATTCATATATTTCAAAGTGCAGTATGCATAGTAGAGAGAAAAATAGCAGCCAATAGTGAAGTACGTCCTAATGGTGAAGCTGGTAATAAATAGTAATGTACTCACAATTTTTTGAGCATACAACTTGCTCTAGTACAGACAGCTTAGGTGGTATAACCCCCACCAAGGATATACAGGATCCAGGAAGTAAAGAAGGGATGGATAAAAGTATCTATAAAAAGTGGGGGTGGGTAAGAAACATGGAGGGGTTGTGGGAGACACATGGAGTGTTTGGGGTGTGGGTGAGATACTTGGGGCGTGGGAGAGACACACAGAGGGGCTAGGGGGTGGGAGAAACATGGGCGGGTTGGAGAGACACATGGAGGGGCTAGGGGGTGAGACACGTTGAAGGGCAGGCAGGGGGGGTAAAGATGTGTGAAGGGGCCGGGGGGGGGATGAGACACATGCAGTGGCTGAGGAGGAATGAGATGCATGGGGGGGTCCCAGTGCAGTTTTCACATGGGCACCCCGGTGGTTTCTAGTTACGCCTTCAGAGAAAATGTTTGTATTGCTGTCTAGTAACACCTGTAGTGGCCATCACTCAGACGGCCACTAGAGGTGCTTCCTTGGCAGTGCTACACAGTGTGCAGCACCTACATTCAACCTCTCCACACTCTGCACACAGGTTCTGAATGTTGCCCCTAGAGAAGCATTGTTTCAGTGCATCTATATGAGGAGATGCTGATTAGTGCCTGCGCTATAGCCTTCCAATGCTTCGCTATGGGGAAAAACGTTGAGTAAAATCACTTTTCCCATGCATTCAAAGAGGGGCTAGTCACCTAAACAGACACGCACACTCAGAAATTATATATATATATTTTTTTATTATCTTAATTGAAATACACACAGCCTCCCTACCGTTGGGAAAGCAAGAGTGAATTGGCTTTTGCTCGTGTCCAATGGGGCTGCTGTCATGTTCCTGCTCTGCTCCCGCTCGTGCACCGTTTAGTATGCTGGGGCCAGAATTACTTCATATTCCATCTCCCGGCACCACTGCAGCGTGCGCGAGGGAGCATAGCCAGAACATGACAGCTGCCTCCCTTGCCATCTGGCTTCAGTCTGCCGGCTGCCTCTGCTCTCCCACAGACAGCCGGCCTCCTCCATTCTCCTTTGCTGCCTGTACTGAACAGTTGGATGAATCCCAGGAGCCAGGGATTTCTCGAGCCCTGGGTTAGAGGCTGTAGTAGGGTATAGGGGAACCAATTGGAGGGTTAGAAGTTGTAGTAGGGTATAGGGGCAGCAATTGGGGGTAAGGGGCTATAGCAGGGTATGGGTGCAGCATTTGGGGGATTAGGTGCTGTAGTAGGGTATATGGGCAGCAATTGGGGGATTAGGGGCAGAAACTGGTTGGTAAGAGACTGTAGTAGAGAGTAGGGGGCTGTAGTATGGGTGGGTTAGGGGCTGTAGTAGTATGGGGCTGTAATAGTGGGTTTAGGGGCTGTAGTAGGGGTAGATAAGTGTCCTTAAGTAGTGGGTTTAGGGGCTGTAGTGGTAAGAAGCTTAAGTAGGGAGTTTAAAGGGCTAATTTCCCCCTCCCTAAGGCTTATCTTTGGGGGAGGGGATTCTGTTCCTTGGTGATCCCAGGTGCCTTGTAAGCAAAGGCGAGCCTAATTCAAGGGGCAGAGCCACTCACGAGGAGGTGGAGCCACTCACAAGGGGCGGGGCCTGATGCTGCAATGCGCCGGCAGCTAAAGAGTGCCTGGGCGCTAGGATCAGCCCTGGGCCTGGGGGTCCTGAGAAATGTTTTGTGACTTACCAACAACATTTTTGCTACTAAAATATAATTTAAAAGAAAAACAATGTATTTTATTTACACAGATGGATTTCTCGACACCTTTATTATAGTTTAAGTATATCTTTTTTGAATTCTTTATTTTTGTTGTGCAGGTGATTACAGGGTATCAACAGACGCCACAACGGCGTATTTAAAAATTCACAACAGTTTAACAGTGGCATGAGAATTTGCACAGTTTTAAGTTTTTAAACATGCTTGACTAGATAGCTAAATCGATATGGTAGGATTAACTAAAATACAGTGAAATAAAACAATGGTTACTCATCGATACTAGATATGATGGAACTTATTTAAACCTGGTACATTGATCATAGCTTTACTGCGACTGCGAAGTATACGGCATTCATTTTCAAGAGTTTTATGGAAGTAATATCGGTACAGGTATACGTATGCAGTGGGCATAAGGTACGTTTTGTAACTTGCAAGGGGTTACCTATTTACATTAGGTGTACCAGCTTCTTAGGCGGTAAAGAGTAACCTGATATTTCACCCAGTTTTTATAGTTTTCTAAGTGTAACTAAAGAGTTGTGTTGTTGGGATGAAGTTAAGGTAGAATATAGTAAAATGAGAGGTGCTCGGTGTGTAGTTTTGCTAGGTCCACTATGCTAGTGTGCGCGTACTGAGTTTTGTAGTGTAGCTTTATCTAGTTGCGATGTGTTACCCAGATACTCTGTACCGTGTGTGTTTAGGCTGGGAGGCTAGTGACTTATTGAGGGTACGTAGGCTTTCTGGGTGTTGTGCGTGGCTGTTGAAAGTGTCTGCGTGGTTTAGAGTGCGTATATAGCTACTGCGCTTTACTGTTAGATATGTGCCAGGATATCTGAGATTTATCTAAGCTAATGATGACCTTTTTTTTTTCGCTTGTAAGCGAGGCAGGAGAGAGCAAGACAAAGCAAATGGTGATTGTGTGACTTAAAAGTATGAAAAGCTGAAGGAGTAGATTATTTGATACGTAAACAAGCAATAACTATGTACTTAATGCTGTAGATGGACTATCTTAGGCATGATAATCGTAGCTTCGGAGTCTCCTGGGGTTCCCCAGGCTTAGGTCTTCCTCCAGGAGCTGGCGTGAACAATGAGAGTTAGATAGAGCATGAGAGAAAGAAAGAGTTATCTGGGTCTTGGGTGTTGGTCTCATCAGCCCAGTGTATTGCGAGGCATTAGAGGGGTTCCGATGTGGTACTGTGCCCTTCAGTTCCATTTATATGGTAACCGAGGCGTAGTTGATCGGTGTGGTGCTCCGCGGTCTGAACGGGGCACTTCTCGCCGGATCCCAGTTGTGGGTCAGGGTGGCGTGGGCACAGGATCCCTCCCGGGAGAGTATGTCCTGTGACAGTCCCAAGGTTTGTAGGAGAGCCTCTGCATCTTGTATGCTGTAGATTTGGTGTGTTGTTTCACCGTGGTGCACTAGGAGCGTGTGTGAGAATCGCCAGCGATATGGTATGTTATTGCGCTGGAGTGTGGAGGTGAGGGGCCTGAGTAACCTGCGCCATGCCAGGGTTCCGCTGGAGAGGTCGGCGTAGAAGATCAATTTTGCGTTTTCGAACTGTATGGGGGCTTTACCCCGGACAGCTGAGAGGACCTTCGATTTGTCTGACCCATTCCCAAAGGTGAGGATAGTGTCTTTTGTGGCCGTGTCTGGGGCCCCAGTGGGTTTTGGGATTCGGAAGAGATTTGTAGGTGTGATGGCATTGGCTTGGTCTGGAGGTAATATTGTTGTTAGTATGTGCTTGATCGTGCGCTGCAAATCCTTCTCTGGTAACCCCTCCGGAATCCCCCTGACCTTTATGTTGAGTCTTCATCTAGTGTCCTCCTGGGCTGTGAAGCGCCGTTCATACAGCTCATTTTGACGGCGCA